ATTCTGAAATACAAATTAATTCAAAATGAAAATAAAAACAATTAGAAAACCACCACACAACTTAATGCAAATAAAAAGCAATTCATATTATATCATTTCTCTGCATTTTTTAATCAATGTGTCAAATGTAAATTAAAGTACGATACGATAATGATATGAGATCAGTCATAAATAAAATGCTAAAAAATAGTATCATTTATTGGTGATTCCCATGTTCTAAAGTGTTAGTATCGACACAAGAACTTGTTTCTCAGGTTGGTCAAAGCTAAAATCTTAGATCTAGCCGAGGATTAAGATGTTAATATGAAATGAGCAAAAAATCTCAAAGATAACTATTACTCTGGCTGTGCTTAGAATGTTCGTGAACCACCAATGTGGGTTATAGCCATGGTTGAAAATGTTGTTCATGAACTAAAACAAGTTTCTTCTAATGTAGTTTTACTCAAGAAGGGGAAAGAGTTAAGGTGTCTTTGAGTACACACAGTTACACTTAGATGTACGTTTCACTTGTACAAGAAACAAATCGTTTGAGATAATTTTTGCTTTATAGGTTGGAGTTTTTGGACTATAATGTTTTTAGATTATAATCTGAAAGAGAATACAAATGAGAAGCAAACGCCAGTAAAGTGTTGATCTTGACATGAGCCATTTGTCAAGCTAATGATTCCATTTTTGTGTATATATGAATAAATAATATACCTAATCGATAGAGATTCAACCATGAAAATTTTGAGCTCTTCCCAAAGTTGGGGACAAAATATTCACTTGGAAGTTTGTAACGATTCAGGCGTTTGCATCACGATTGTATAATTCTATCAATTGAATATATTATTCAAATACTTGTTTGCGTTTGAGATAACATTACAAATCGGGGCACTTGTTACTTTCATCGAAGTAATAACTTTTTTTAAAGTAAATTACTTGGATCAATAATATTTTGTTTTTTTGGTTTAAAACTTGGTTGACCAGTATCTTCATATAATTTCCATAATTGTTTTACAAAAATATTTGAACGATCATTTTTGACTTTTTTGGTGACACTTAATTTCATTAAATCAAATTTCAATGCTACAATGCATAGTGGGAATTAAGCACCCCCTAGGAACCGATACAATAAAACAAAATCAACGAAGGTATGATATTTCAACTTCATATTTCTTAAAGTTTCCATATATAAGATTACATATAGCAACCACATGTGTCTTCCGTGTCACCTGGATTTACTCTTAAACATTGTCCACCTAAGTTGTAATGAAAATCAAGGCATTGTTTGTTGCAGTCTGGAATCTTCGAGCACGGACCTAACGGAAAAAACGCTGTCCTTGCTTCCACAGGTTCTGAAGTTTTATTTTAGAAGGAGAAAAAGTTAATCGAATATTAAAAAACAAGAATCTAGTTTGGTTTTATAAAATGCCATATCCAATATCTTGTAACAAAAAAACGTATGCTCAATAAATTAAATGAAACAAATAAATAAGACTGCTTCAAAAAAAACAAAAAAAAAACATTTAAAACGAATGCATGTTACTAGTTTTAATATATGATCTTACCCTTTTGTGATTACAATATATATTCCAACTTTATATAACATATGAGATTATATGTAAAAATAGACATATGATAAAGAGTTAAAAATAAAATATTTAAAGATTTTTGGCATACTTGGAGACATGAGAAGAGCTAGGCAAATAAGCATAAGGAAGAAACATTTGCTAAATGAAACCATTTTTTGAATGTTTTGTTTTGGTTTTTTTCTTGACTGTTCTTTTTCTACTGAAACTGAATAGTTCACAAACCCTTCACTGTTCGTATATATATAGAGGTTCTCCAAGGAAAATTTGATTCGCGTTTATTTATATCTTTCGTATAAGGTAGAATATATGTAATATACACTAACTAATTAAGTAAACCCAGAAATCGCAAAAAAACAAAATTTGGGGGAATGAAGAAAGAGAAAACTAGGGTTTATGAGCAGAACCGCTAATTACGACCATAAAAGATAAAATAAATTCTCAAATAAAATTGACACAAGGTTTCAAATATAGTATTTATGTAGTAAGGTTTAAACATAAAATGATAATGATTTTTATTTATTTTAAATATTATTTATTTATTTTTTCATAAATTATGTGATAGCATGTTACATCTTTGTTATACAAACATTAATGTATTTCCTGATTTTATTTCTTTTTTTTAATACATGAAACTAATAAATCTTAAATTATAAAGTTGTTATTAACTCTAAATTTAGAATTCTGAAATACAAATTAATTCAAAATGAAAATAAAAACAATTAGAAAACCACCACACAACTTAATGCAAATAAAAAGCAATTCATATTATATCATTTCTCTGCATTTTTTAATCAATATGTCAAATGTAAATTAAAGTACGATATGATAATGATATGATATCAGTCATAAATAAAATGCCAAAACAATAGTATCATTTATTGGTGATTCCCATGTTCTAAAGTGTTAGTATCGACACAAGAACTTGTTTCTCAGGTTGGTCAAAGCTAAAATCTTAGATCTAGCCGAGGATTAAGATGTTAATATGAAATGAGCAAAAAATCTCAAAGATAACTATTACTCTGGCTGTGCTTAGAAAGTTCGTGAACCACCAATGTGGGTTATAGCCATGGTTGAAAATGTTGTTCATGAACTAAAACAAGTTTTTTCTAATGAAGTTTTACTCAAGAAGGGGAAAGAGTTAAGGTGTCTTTGAGTACACACAGTTACACTTAGATGTACGTTGTCACTTGTACAAGAAACAAATCGTTTGAGATAATTTTTGCTTTATAGGTTGGAGTTTTTGGACTATAATGTTTTAAGATTATAATCTGAAAGAGAATAGAAATGAGAAGCAAACGCCAGTAAAGTGTTTATCTTGACATGAGCCATTTGTCAAGCTAATGATTCCATTTTTGTGTATATATGAATAAATAACATACCTAATCGATAGAGATTCAACCATGAAAATTTTGAGCTCTTCCCATAGTTGGGGACAAAATATTCACTTGGAAGTTTGTAACGATTCAGGCGTTTGCATCACGATTGTATAATTCTATCAATTGAATATATTATTCAAATACTTGTTTGCGTTTGAGATAACATTACAAATCGGGGCACTTGTTACTTTCATCGAAGTAATAACTTTTTTTAAAGTAAATTACTTGGATCAATAATATTTTGTTTTTTTTGGTTTAAAACTTGGTTGACCAGTATCTTCATATAATTTCCATAATTGTTTTACAAAAATATTTGAACGATCATTTTTGACTTTTTTGGTGACACTTAATTTCATTAAATCAAATTTCAATGCTACAATGCATAGTGGGAATTAAGCACCCCCTAGGAACCGATACAATAAAACAAAATCAACGAAGGTATGATATTTCAACTTCATATTTCTTAAAGTTTCCATATATAAGATTACATATAGCAACCACATGTGTCTTCCGTGTCACCTAGATTTACTCTTAAACATTGTCCACCTAAGTTGTAATGAAAATCAAGGCATTGTTTGTTGCAGTCTGGATTCTTCGAGCACGGACCTAACGGAAAAAACCCTAAAACGAATGCATGTTACTTGTTTTAACATATGATCTTACCCTTTTGTGATTACAATATATATTCCAACTTTATATAACATATGAGATTATATGTAAAAATAGACATATGATAAAGAGTTAAACATAAAATATTTATAGATTTTTGGCATATTTGAAGACATGAAAATAGCTAGGCAAATAAGCATAAGGAAGAAACATTTGCTCAATGAAACCATTTTTTGAATGTTTTGTTTTGGATTTTTTCTTGACTGCTCTTTTTCTATTGAAACTGAATAGTTCTCAAACCCTTCACTGTTCATATATATATAGAGGTTCTCCAAGGAAAATTTGATTCGCGTTTATTTATATCTTCCGTATAAGGTAGAATATATGTAATATACACTAACTAATTAAGCAGAAACCGCAAAAAACAAAATTTGGGGGAATGAAGAAAGAGAAAACTAGGGTTTATGAGCAAATTCGCTAATTACGACCATAAAAGATAAAATAAATTCTCAAATAAAATTGACGCAAGGTTTATATTATAGTGTTTATAGAGTATGGTTTAAGCATAAAATGATAATGATTTTCCTTTATTTTAAATATTATTTATTTAGTTTTTTCATAAATTATGTGATAGAATGTTACATCTTTGTTATACAAACATTAATGTATTTCCTGATTTTATTTCTTTTTTTTAATACATGAAACTAATAAATCTTAATTTATAAAGTTGTTATTAACTTTACATTTAGAATTCTAAAATACAAATTAATTCAAAATGAAAAAAAAAAACAATTAGAAAACCACCACACAACTTAATGCAAATAAAAAGCAATTCATATTATATCATTTCTCTGCATTTTTTAACCAATGTGTCAAATGTAAATTAAAGTACGATACGATAATCATATGAGATCAGTCATAAATAAAAAGATAAAAAAAATAGTATCATTTATTGGTGATTCCCATGTTCTAAAGTGTTAGTATCGACACAAGAACTTGTTTCTAAGATTGGTCAAAGCTAAAATCTCAGATCTAGCCGAAGATTAAGATGTTAATATGAAATGAGCGAAATCTCAAAGATAACTATTACTCTGGCTGTGCTTAAAAAGTTCGTGAACCACCAATGTGGGTTATAGCCATGGTTGAAAATGTTGTTCATGAACTTTTTTTTTTTTTGAACATCATTTCATTAAAAGATTGGGTTGTGGGCCCAAATTCTCGATGCAAACTAAGCGATAGAAGAAAGAAAAGATTTAGCTATAGCATCTGCCGAAGAATTGGCCGATCTAGAGATAAAGTTGAAAGAGATTTCTGCAAAGGAATTCGCCAGGAAGAGGATATCGTGGAAGATACCAAACATCTCGGTGATTTGCTCTTTCGAATTGATTGCTCTAACGAGCGTTGAGGAGTCCGAATTGAGGCGTATGTGTCTCCAATTTTTTTATCGTGCCTGCATCAAAGCATCTCTGATGGCCATACCTTCAGCTACGATCGCTGATGTTACTAAGGTTTCCCCTTTTCCTCCTTGATTGACCCCTGCCTTGCTTCGATCTTCCGCCATCCATCCTAATCCCGCGATTTTCAAATCTTTGGACCAGGCCGCATCTGTGTAGATCGTGATGAGATTGGAATGATCGGACGATGATGGAGCTTGTGGTAACACTGTCTTCATATTCACTTTCTCCGGTTGTGCTTCTTGCCATTCCCTCGCATCAGCAATTGCTTTAGAGATGGTGTCAAATTTCTCACAGGTTCTATTCTCAAAAAATTTCCGATTTCGAGCTCCCCAGATTGCCCAACAAATCCAGGGGAACAAGGAGCATGCTTCTACGCCAATTGGTGGAAGGACTTTCCATTTGAACGACGATTTCAGGGCTTCTGCGAAGGTCTGCACCTGATGGGACTCAAGTTGATCTTTGAACGGGGCCAGGCACCATATCTCATGTGCAAATACACAGTGGAACAGAAGGTGGTCACACGTTTCCGGCTCGCCACAGAACTGGCAGTTTGAAGCTATGGCAAGGCCACGAGAGCTTAGATTGGAGCCTAGGGCTAGTGCACCATTGGCCAACTTCCAAAGGAAGACTTGTAGTTTTGGCGATGTTTTCCGCGACCAGATATCTGCAATCCAGTCAATTGCCGGCTCCATTGACTGTGTGTCTCTTGGTTTGTAGCTGTTCTTGTAGGCAGTATGGTATCCTGTCTTCGTTGTATAGGCTCCTGACTTTGACGGTAGCGAGATGTATTTGTCTTTGCACCCCGAGAGGCTTGGTCGTATGCTTAGGATCGTATCTGCGAGCTCCGGGAAGACGAGCCTGACTCTCTCAGTGTCCCAATGGTTAGTGTCAGGCAAGAACAAATCTGCCACCATCCACTTTGCTGATTGTTCTGTTGCTGGTCCGGTTGGTCTTTGCGGCGTTACCGTTGACAACCAAGCATCGTGCCAGATGTTTGTGGTTTTTCCATCTCCTATGGCCTTTCCTAAATTTTCCAGCACTAGGTTCCTTCCTATCAGAATGCCTTTCCAGCCATGCGAAGCTGCTTGATGGGAACTCACTTCAAGGAATGGTTTGTCCTGACAATATTTTCCGATCAGTACTCTGGCTAGCAGGCATGAGGGATTCGAGTAAACTCTCCAACTGAGTTTGGCCAAGAGAGCATCATTGAAGGCTTGTATGTCTCTGAAACTTAAACCCCCACTTTTCTTTGATTTTGTTAGTTTAGATCAAGCTGTCCAACACATTTTTCTTTTCCCATTTATATCATCCCACCAGAACCTCGTGAGCGCTGATTGAATTCTTTTACAGAGTCCAACGGGAAATTTGAAGCATTGCATCGTGTACGTCGGTATTGATGAGAGCACTGATTTTAGCATGGTCATCTTGCCAGCACTTGAGAGGAAACGTGACGACCAATTTATTGCCCTTTGCCTAATCATGTCTACGGTCAGGGCAAACAGATCTTTCTTCTTACGGCCAAAATGCTCCGGCAAGCCCAGGTACTTTCCTTGTCCACCTTTTTTTGTTATTCCAAGGATTTGTTTGGCCTGATTCCTTGCAAGTTGGGACGTTTTCGGTGAGAAAGTGATGGATGACTTGTCCACATTGATCATTTGACCAGACGCTTGTTCATACTCCTGTAGTATTCTCTTTAAGGTCTTACAGTTGTTTGAACTTGACTTGCAGAAAAACATTGTGTCATCTGCAAAGAGAAGATGATTCATTATGGGGCTGTTTGTAGCCACACGAATCCCAGGAAGCTTTCCTTGTCCCTGAGCTCTTCTGCATAAGCCTGACAATACTGCACCACACAAGATGAAGATGTAAGGAGAAAGCGGATCCCCCTATCTTATTCCTCTCTGTGGAGTGACCTGTCCATGAGCCGGGTTTGCAAAGAGAAGATGATTCATTATGGGGCTGTTTGTAGCCACACGAATCCCAGGAAGCTTTCCTTGTCCCTGAGCTCTTCTGCATAAGCCTGACAATACTGCACCACACAAGATGAAGATGTAAGGAGAAAGCGGATCCCCCTATCTTATTCCTCTCTGTGGAGTGACCTGTCCATGAGCCGGGTTGTTGATGAGGTATGAATATGTGACTGATGAGACGCATTGGTGGATCCAGTTGATCCATTTTGGATGAAATCTCATTCTTCTTTGAACCGCGGTAAGGAAATCCCATTCTATTCGATCATACGCTTTACTCATATCTATTTTTACTGCCATTGAGTAATGTTTCTTTGCACTTGCCAATCGCTTCAGGAAGTGTAGAACTTCATGAGCTAAAACAAGTTTCTTCTAATGTAGTTTTACTCAAGAAGGGGAAAAAGTTAAGGTGTCTTTGAGTACACATAGTTACACTTAGATGTACGTTGTCACTTGTACAAGAAACAAATCGTTTGAGATAATTTTTGCTTTATAGATTGGAGTTTTTGGAGTATAATTTTTTAAGATTATAATCTTAAAAAGAATACAAATAAGAAGCAAACGCCAGTAAAGTGTTGATCTTGACATGAGTCATTTGTCAAGCTAAGGATTCAATTTTTGTGTATATGAATAATAAACGTACGTAATCGATAGAGATTCAACCATGAAAATTTTGAGCTCTTCCCATAGTTGGGGACAAAATATTCACTTGGAAGTTTGTGACGATTCTGGAAGACATCGAGATTGTCAAATTCTATCAATTGAATATATTATTCAAATACTTGTTTGCTTTTGAGATAACATTACAAATCGGGGCACTTGTTGAAACAACCAACACTTTTTTTGTTTTAAATAAATAAATAAATATAAATCATTTCTAGCGAAGTTCTTTAAAATAAATTAAATCAATAAATATCAAAAACAAATAAATCAGTTCAGCGGAAGCAAATAATAATTAAACAAGTCTAAACAATTTAAACAGGTTCAACAAGATAATGCAAAAAGAATAAATCCTATCATCCCCTCTTTAGCCTTGATTCCGCGATCACACAAATCTTTTACCTGCAATCACTCTGCCTACAGGCCAATTACGCAATTTACTAGATATTTAATAATATTTATAAACTCCAATAATTATTAAATACCATTTTCCAATTATTAATAATTAAAACTTCATTTCTCAATTATTAAATAATTCTCATAATTAAATAATAATTTTCCATATTTTAAAATAATTTAAATAATTATTTTAAGCTCTTAATTAATTAAATGTATTTTATTAATTAAAACCGAATTAAACCAATTAACCATATTTTAACCAGAAATCAATTCCAATTGAACCAGACTGAACCGGCTGCGTCGCCATACGCAGACCACTTTGCGTCGACCGACGCAAGCTTTGCGTCGCCCGACGCACGTCCGTCAAGTCGACAGAGATATCAACAAAACATGCAGAAACACCGAATTAACACAGAAATCAACCAAACATCATCACATAAACCTCATATCATAAGAACACCTCAAGAACAACATTCAGTCAATCCAAATCTGGTGATTTGCGGACCTACAGTCATGCACCCACCTTGAAAACGGATTTGAAAGGAGAAAAACGATGGAAACAGCAAAGAACAACGAACCGCACTTCGATCTGCCACTAAAACTCGGATTTCCTCCACAAAATCGCCTCTTCTCCTCTCCAGAACTCTCTGCCTCGAAAAACTGTGCAAAAAGGAGGCGGCTGCACCTTTTAATTCGAGTTCTAGGGCTTTTCTGCCCAAAACCAGCTAAACCGGACCACTTAAATCAAACCGGGTCTGATTTTGAAATCCTTGCGTCGACCGACCCAACTCTTGCGTCGACCGACCCAACTCTTGCGTCGCCCGATGCAACTTTTAAAACTCCACAAAATAGGCTACGGATGTTACACTTGTAACTCATCGAAGTAATAACTTTTTTTAAGGTAAATTACTTGGATCAATAATATTTTGTTTTTTTGGTTTAAAGCTTGGTTGACCAGTATCTTCATATAATTTCCATAATTGTTTTACAAAAATATTTGAACGATCAATTTTGACTTTTTTGTAACACTTAATTTCATTAAATCAAATTTCAATGCTACAATGCATAGTGGGAATTAAGCACCCCCTAGGAACCGATACAATAAAACAAAATCAACGAAGTATGATATTTCAACTTCATATTTCTTAAAGTTTCCATATATAAGATTACATATAGCAACCACATGTGTCTTCCGTGTCACCTGGATTTACTCTTAAACATTGTCCACTTAAGTTGTAATAAAAATCAAGGCATTGTTTGTTGCAGTCTGGAATCTTCGAGCACGGACCTAACGGAAAAAACGCTGTCCACGCTTCCAGAGGTTCTAAAGTTTTATTTTAGAAGGAAAAAAAGTTAATCGAATATGAAAAAACAAGGATCTAGTTTGGTTTTATAAAATGCCATATCCAATATCTTGTAACAAAAAAACGTATGCTTAATAAATTAAATGAAACAAAAAATAAGACTGCTTCAAAAAAAAAAAAATCTAAAACAAATGCATGTTACTATATATATTCCAACTTTATATAATATATAACATATGATTACAATATATATTCCAACTTTATATAACATATGAGATTATATGTAAAAATAGAAATATGATAAAGAGTTAAACATAAAATAATTAAAGATTTTTTGCATACTTGGAGACATGAGAAGAGTTAGGCAAATAATAAGCAAAAGGAAGAAATATTTGCTAAATGAAACCATTTTCTGAATGTTTTTTTTTTTCTTGACTGTTCTTTTTCTACCGAAACTGAATAGTTCTCAAACCCTTCACTGTCCGTATATATATAAAGGTTTTCCAAAGAAAATTTGATTCGCGTTTATTTATATCTTCCGTATAAGGTAGAATATATGTAATATACACTAACTAATTAATTAAACCCATAAACCGAAAAACAAAAAAACAAATTTTGGGGGAATGAAGAAAGAGAAAACTAGGGTTTATGAGCAAAACCGCTAATTACGAGCATAAAAGATAAAATAAATTCTCAAATAAAATTGAAGCAAGGTTTAGAATATAGTATATATGCAGTAAGGTTTAAACATAAAATGATAATCATTTTCCTTTATTTTAAATATTTTTTATTTAGTTTTTTCATAAATTATATGATAGCATATTACATCTTTGTTATACAAACATTAATGTATTTCCTGATTTTATTTCTTTTTTTTTAATACATGAAACTAATAAAACTTAAATTATAAAGTTGTTAATAACTTTACATTTAGAATTCTGAAATACAAATTAATTCAAAATGAAAAAAGAAAAAACAATTAGAAAACCACCACACAACTTAATGCAAATAAAAAGCAATTCATATTATATCATTTCTCTGCATTTTTTAATCACTGGGTCAAATGTAAATTAAAGTACGATCCGATAATGATATGAGATCAGTCATAAATAAAATGCTAAAACAAATAGTATCATTTATTGGTGATTCCCATGTTGTAAAGTGTTAGTATCGACACAAGAACTTGTTTCTCAGCTTGGTCAAAGCTAAAATCTCAGATCTAGTTGAGGATAAGATGTTAATATGAAATGAGCGAAATCTCAAAGATAACTCTGGTTGTGCTTAGAAAGTTCGTGAACCACCAATGTGGGTTCTAGCCATGGTTGAAAATGTTGTTCATGAACTAAAACAAGTTTCTTCTATAGTTAGTCAAGAAGGGGAAAGATTTAAGGTGTCTTTGAGTACACACAGTTACACTTAGATGTACGTTGTCACTTGTACATTAGCTTAACAAATGACATGATTTATGTTATACAAATGGATTATGATCCTGTTTTATTCATTACAAAGTAAATAGTAAATAACTTTCGAAAATCATATAAACGAGAAATTATTGAAATTATTTCGTATTTTTAATGAATTAATGTAATTACTTTGTATAATAAATAGTTTAATTTAAATAATATACTAATTTATGGAATTTTTGTTATAAATAATAAATAAGGGGGGCTAATTTTCAAAACTTATCAATAAAATAATTTTACAATAAAATTGGATTATGAATATATTTCGAATATTCTATTTTTACTGTTAAAAATAAAGGAATCCATTGGAAAGAAACACCATATTATTATAAGGGAACACTATAATAAGGGAATACAGTGGAGATGGTCTAACAAGGGTAATTGGGAGATGAATTTACATAGAATTGCATAATTTTAAAATTTGATAGAATTGTTAAATTTATAAAGAGTTATTGTTAGATTTTGCAGAGAGTTTGTATATTTTTGAAAAACAATATTCAAACTTTATGTAAATATGTGTCCCATTAACAAAAATTTTAATGAATTCATAAAATCATTGTTATTCAAAAATGATCAAACTAATAATAGTGGACTGAAGTAAAACTATCATAATTCATAAACCAATAAGGCAATAACAATAAATTCTTATAATATAATAATATTAAAACCTTTTTGAAATTCATTTCTCAATAACCCCCTAAAACTAAACATGTTTGACTAAACTATATATATACCAACAAATTTATGTTTTTGGAATTTTCCTAACATGGGCAGAGCAAGCAAGTTTACTTGTGTAAGAAGTTATACAAAGACCACTTTAAGGATTCTAACGAACACATTTTCGAAGAACTCGACCAGTTTCATGAAATGGAGTGGAAGAGTCGTCTCGATGTTTGTGCCAATCTCGCTCATCACGTGATTTAGGTCTTGTATTTACTTGCTTGTGGTGAAAGTAAACTCATGGGCCCACCACAATCAAAAGACACAGAACTTATGCAGCCTCTTTCCGTGGGCCGGAGAGAAACGTTGACGGCCCAATTTTTTAAGTTGGCGTTTTTTTCTCTTTAAACAGTAGCGTCAGTTTGAAGTTAGCTTTTTTATTCCAAAGAGTAGCTTCATTTTGAAGCTGAATCGTTATATACTATATATACACATCAATGATCAATCACAATCGACATCTCTCTCTCTCTCTCTGCAAGTCAAAACCTCTCAGCCATGGACGTACAAAACGCTATGAAGAATCAAACCGAAGTCGCAGTGATCCTTTCCAAACAACTCTTCTCCACCGTGGGCAAACGCTCCAACAGCGTCTTCTCACCGGCGTCAATCATCGCCGCGTTCACCATGGTTGCCTCTGGTCCCGACGGTAAGGACGAAATCCTCAAAGCGATCCTCACCTTCCTCAGATCTTCTTCCGCCGACGAGCTTAACGCCGTTTTCAACCTCATCTCTTCCTTCGTCTTCGCCGACGGTAGCAGCATCGGCGGCCCGACAATCAAAGTAGCCAACGGCGTCTGGGTCGAACAATCTCGTCCAATCAATCCTTCTATCAAACCTCTCTTCGAGAATTTCTTCAAAGCTGTTTTCGCTTCTGTCGATTTCAGATCAAAGGTATTAATAAATTCCCTAAATCTCTCTTCAGTTGCTTCGATTCCCCAATTAACGAGCTCAGTTTCAAAATCGGAAGCTCTACGAATCAAAAATTAGACTCAGAATTTGCTTCGATTCTCCAATTAACGAATACAATTTCAAATATCAGTTTAATTTCAATTTCGGTTTGGAAAAGCCAGTCTGTTGTTTGACAAATATGAAATTGTTCTGTTTCTGATTTCTGATTTTTTTTTATTGTGTATTTGAAGGCTGAGGAATTGCGTTTGGAGGTGAATAAATGGGCGACGTATCACACGAATGGTCTAATCAAAGATCTTCTTCCTCCTCGATCCCTCACAAAGTATACCAAATTGGTTTATGGAAACGCATTGTACTTCAAAGGAGCTTGGGAAGAGAAATTCGACAAGGCACTGACGAAGAAGAGAGACTTTCATCTTTTCAACGGAGCATCAGTCTCTGTGCCGTTCATGAGAAACTACAAGAAACAATACGTTGCGGCTTACGATGGTTTCAAGGTCCTCAAGCTACCGTTTCGACAAGGCGGCGACACCAACCGCGGTTTCTCCATGTATTTGTATCTCCCTGATGAGAAATACGGTTTGGAGAATCTTGTGGAGAGAATGGGATCGGATCATGGATTCTTGGATAGTTGCATTCCGAGTGAAAAAGTTTCTGTTGGGGAACTCATAATTCCCAAGTTTAAGATCGAATTCGGGTTTAAGGCTTCGAGGGAGTTTAATTTGGGGTTTGATGTAGTGGATTTGTACCATAAAGCTTGTGTTGAGATCGATGAAGATGGTGCTGAAGCTGCTGCTGCGACTGCTGTTGTTGTTTCCTTTGGCTGTGCTTTTGTAAAGACTGTGAGCTTTGTGGCTGATCATCCGTTTCTGTTTTTGATTAGAGAAGAGAGAACCGGTGCCGTTTTGTTTGTTGGTCAGATGTGTGATCCTTCGGTCTAGTTAGGTGTAAACCGGTGTTATAGAACTTAGAAGTTTTGGTTTGAGTCTAGGTGTTTTTTGGGTTTAATTTGGGTCTGGTTAGTTCGGTTAGGAGATAGTTTCTTCGGGTCATTTTTTATTCAATTATTGGGCTTTTGTTTTTTTTCTCAATCTTGAATTTACGATCAATAAATTGAGATATTGGTAAGAATATGTTTAGTTGTTTCGTAAATGCTTTACTTTTTGCTCAATGTTCTTTTAAACGAATCAGAAAATAAACCGGATTTTCACGAAACTGAACCGGTCAAGTTATATGGGGATCACTAAACTATGGTTCATGGTTTAGTCAAAATTCTCCTTGACGGATTTAGACAAACCAAGCATGTTCTATTTATACTTTTGATATTCACAAAATGATCTAAAACATATTCTGAATTCAAATATTAGTCCTGTAAAATGTAATTGGCTAAACAAACTGCAAATAAGGGACACGCTTAGGAAAAGAATCAAAATGATTAAACCATATTTAATTATTTGATTCTACCACTAATTTAAAATTTTTGAGCAGCTTCGTAGATCGTTTCGTTACGACGACATTTGGGTCATTTAAAACTCTCCAAATCAAATCATTAATTACTAGGGTTTGACCCGCATCCTATACATGATGATATTTTACTCTAATATTTTTTATCATTAAAATGTTTATTTACATAACTCTGAAAATCTTATGTGACATATTAATTTGATGGTTTGGCTGTTGTCTTTATTTTACAGTATGGAAATCAAGCATTTTAAATAATTTTTTAAGAAGGTAAAAAAGTTTTGGCCATTTCAATAAATTACCGATGGTAAAATTGAGTGAGAACAAAAAAAAAATAACTACAATATAATAAGATAGTGAAAATAACAAATCAAATGATTACATTTAAATAGATATTGTTTTAAATATTGGTAATATTGTATTTCTTTTTTATAATCGTTACGGTTAGATATGGACCATATGGTATGATGTTTTTTCTTCTTTTTATGGAAACAAAAACAATATTATGCGAAATCAATTCAAATTTGCTAACATTATACTCCATCTGTTTCATAATAAGTGTCGTTTTGACAAAATGAATTTGGACTATTTATTAATGTATATGGATGTGTTTTGACTCTTAATACATCCATATACATCTAGATACATTGGGTAACTCAAGAGTCAAACCGACACTTATTATGAAACAGAGGGAGTTAAGTTCAGTCATGTATTAAATAAATTCATTGCTAAAAACATGATAATATATGGCTGATTTAGTCATATGCATTTCGGGAAGGGAATCATGTTTCCACCCTTACTCGTTTAAAATTTTCCGAACTTTTCGGGAATGGGAATTTGCAATTTTCCATTTGGGAACATTTCTTTTATTCAAACGGGTTCGAGAAGGGTATGGGATTTCCCAATGTTCCCATTAAAAAAAAATGAAAAATAGATATTTTTTTCGTAAATATCTCAATTTTCCCATATTTTTCAGAATTTTCCCGTAAGTTTCCCGATTTAGTAAGACTTCAGGTATTAATTTTTACTCCCAAATATCCCTTCCCTTCCCATTCACATTCTTGTTATTTTCCGTCCCGTTATAATAAGAAAATACTTCATGTACTATATTTGGTTTCCAAATATCCCATCCCTCTCCCGTTCCCATCAATTCCCGTCCTAAAACCTGAAATGCATAGGGCTAGGTGATTTATAGGCCAATTTAATGCTAATATGGGAACATAATATTTATCTGAATCTACTCATAATATAACGACTTCCATATAAGACCTTATATTTATTGGCGACATTATCATATAATTAAAATCTCTAATATAAATTCAAATATTATTTTTTTTTCTAAATTTTATAATTTTGCATGAAATAATTTATTGAAAAAAAATGTTTACAATTAAATTCATTATATATTCATATATATTATATATATGCTCAGATATCCAGTATATTGAAGAACAAAAATTAAATCACTAATTTGGAATTGTTTATATATGTTTTTAGTTTTAAAATGTTTTATAATAATATTTTTTTTTACATAATTTATGATTTTTAAGTGGAAGAATATTGTGGAAGCTCTCTTAGTCCAGTGGTTGGCTAAAGGTTCATTAATAGCTTCTACACCAAGAGGTCTGAGTTTCAATCCCCAAAAGATGCGATTTGCATAAAGAAGGCAAGAACAGATAAGGAAAATTTCCAGAACAGGTTCAAGATAGCTACTCATGGTAGATTCATATAAGGATGGATCTTGGTAGAATAGTTAATTAACCGTTAATAATTATCCTTGTCATTGTCCTCTTAGACCTTATAAAAAAAAAAGTGGAAGTATATTAAAAAAAGATCAACTGATTATATTTATATTAACAAATCTTATATATTAAAAATATATATATAATTAATTTCGAAATATTTATATCACTTTTGATTTTTAAAATATTTTATAATAATTATTTCATGTATTACTTATGTTGTTTAATGGAAGATATATGAAAATATTTAATATTTGTAATTAAATAAATATTAAAATAGTGTACTAATGGCATTGTATGTAAATATTTAGTAAGTGATGTCTTAATTAAAAGTTTTCTTAAGAGTGAATTTGGTGATGACACATAGCAACATGGTATTTTCGTTAATACCACATAAGAGAAATGTTATTTTGATAGTGTTTCTTCTTTTAATATACTAGGGATGAGAGAAACATTATTTTAATAGTGTCTTCTCTTTTAATATATTAGGGATTACAAGGCATCAACTCTTTCACAAGTCTAAATTCTCTCTCTCGTTGCAGGTAAAAGAAAAATGGATATGAGAGAAGCGATGAAGAAGCAAAACGAAGTCGTGATGTTCCTTGCGAAGCACGTATTCGCTTCAGAGGCCACACACTCTAACATCGTCTTCTCGCCTGCCTCAATATACTCTGCTCTCACTTTGGTGGCTTCTGGTCCAGGCGATCCTTATCAGATCCTCTCCTTGCTGAAGTCTTCTTCAACCGATGAGCTCAACGCCGTCTTCACCGAGATCCTTTCCGTCGTCTATGCTGGCGGTAGCGCCGCCAATGGCGGACCGGAGATCTCGTCGGTCAATGGCGTCTGGATTGAGCAATCGCTCTCGATTGATCCTAAGTTCAAGGATCTTTTCGAGAATTTCTTCAAAGCTGCTTTCGGTTGCGTAGATTTCCGATCAAAAGTAAGTTTCCCTTTATAGAACGAGCCAAATCGAATCTAGAATGATTCTTGTGATCATATTGTTTCAAAATTGAAAATAGAGTTATATCTGTTTTGACTAATATGAATTTTGACAAAATCATAGAAATACTTAAAATACCACTAAATTAAGTTTACATTTAAAAAATGGCAATTCTCACAGCTACGCATATGCATATTATTCCGGATCCGAGATCCGGTCCGATCCTACTCATAGCTACCATTAATTTTTTTTTTTTTAATTCCTCTCATATAATTACTAAATTTTTTTTCCATCTCATACCATTTACTCATTCATAAAAGTAATTTTAAAGCATCAAGATTAAGGGGAGGTTACTGGGAGATGGATTTGAAAAAAATATATATATATTTAAGAATCTGTTGTTATTGGTTTATGAAATCTGACAATCTTACTAAAATCCATTGTTATTGGTTTGATGAGTTTTAAATTCCACACAAAATCCATTGTTATTCAAATAGTTTGTGTTTCAATGATTTCAAGAATCCATTAAAAACCCTTGTTATTGGGACATGGATTTTAAACAATTTTACTCATGGAACAAGATTTATTTTTCCTATAACCCTTAGATTTTCAAAATCCATTATAACAGAATATTTTGATTGATTTTATGAATATACAAACTCTCTCCAAATCTAACATAAATTCTTTATAAATTTAACAAATCTCTTAACTTTTAAAATTTATCAACTCTATATGAATTCATCGATGAATGACTAACGATTTTTCAGTTATTACTTATAGAATTCCTACGAATGACTAACGATTTTTCAGTTATTTACGGATTTCCTACCATTTTTCGAATTCCATTTCCTACGATATTATTACGAATAATAGACAGAGATATTGCTGTAAGAAACTCGTAGGAAATTATTGATGACGTTTGTACGGTCATAACGGTTATTTTGTCTTGACCGATTTCCTACGAAGGTTTAACTAAATTTCCTACGAAGGTTTAACTAAATTTCCTACGAAAATTAAATGCGTAAGAATATGGTAGAAAATGTCTGACCGTATTCCTAGGATCTTTTTTCGTAGGAAAGTTCCTACCAATTGTCGACCAACATTATTTTTCGTAGTAATATTGTAAAAAAAGGGTAAAAAATCTTTCCTACAAAACTTTTCATAGGAATGGTCGTAGAAATACACCATGTTTTCTTGTAGTCATCTCCCAATAACCACCCCCCCCCCTAAATCATACTATCAAAACTAAACCCTAAATATTAAACCATAAAACCTAAATTATAAACACAAACCCAAATATTTAAGTTATAAACCCTTATAAAAAAGGTATGACTATATGATGGACTTTCTCTTTCAAAAATATCATAGCTGGTTTTATTTATTCAAACATACACCAATAAAAGATTTTCCCGAAAAATACCACAAACACTAAAAATAATGTTTTTAAAAAGGTTTCTTATTTAAATACTTGGGTTTGGTTTACCAGTATTTTTTCTTTGGGATTTTGTTTAGGGTTAATATTTCAATTTTAGTTTTTAAAGATTCTTTGTAAAATGTCAGTTTAGTGGTATTTTTTGGACTTATTTTGGAACATAAATATTTTTGTGGTATTTAAAAAAATTGTCCCAGTATCGTTGGTTTTTTTTTTTTTTGGTAAAATGTTGGTATTTTTTTGTAGGCCGAAGAAGTGCGTATGGAGGTAAATTCATGGGTTCAAGATCGAACCAATGACCTAATCAAGAATCTTCTTCCTCACGGATCCGTCACAGAAGAAACCGAATGGGTTTATGCAAACGCATTATACTTTAAAGGAACATGGAAGCAGCCATTTGAAGAAGACGACACAAGAGACAGAAAGTTTCATCTTCTAAATGGCTCATTAGTGTCTGTGCCATTCATGACCAGCAATGAAGACCAATACGTAAGCGCCTATGATGGTTTCAAGGTCCTTAGGCTCCCTTTCCTGCGCGGAGGCAATGGTGATACCAACCGCGAATTCGCAATGTATTTCTATTTACCGGACGAGAAAGATGATGGATTGGATAATCTTGTGGATAAGATGGCATCTATTCCTGGATTCTTGGATAGTCACATTCCGAGACGAGAAGTTAAAGTTGGGAGATTGAGAATCCCAAAGTTTGGGATCTCGTTAGGGTTTTTAGTTTCGAAGGTTTTTGATCGAATGGGATTGTGTTTGACGTCGTCATTGTACCATAAGGCTTGTATTAAGATCGATGAATCAGGTGTTGAAGCTGCTGCTGCCTCTGTTGATGAATCCTGTGGTTGCTATTTTGGTATGGAGCCTCCGAAGAGGATAGATTTTGTGGCTGATCATCCGTTTCTTTTCTTGATTAGAGAAGACAAAACTGAAACCGTTTTGTTCGTTGGTCAAATCTTTGATCCCTCGGAATCTTCGTACTAACAGAAATGTGATTGGTATCGATTGGAGTGTGGCAGTAAAATTGTGATATTTTATTCAGTGAAAGCTATATATACAGAACTATACATCGGATCATAAAGAATGTATGCTTTGCGCACCACGTTTAATTTGTAACTGTTTCCTTTTAAAAGTTTCATAAACGGTGGTATTTTTTGTAAAACTAGGTTTTTAACCCGCGCACGCGCGGGTCTCGGTTAATAATTTTATTTAATCAACTTAAAAATAATCAAATCTTGTGCATTTTTTTTAATGTACTTAAAAAGAATTGATTATTTCATCCTCCTTTTATTCTTTTATAAGATTATAGATATTTTTAAGAATAATAATAATAAAGCAATTGAAAGGGATAAATGTAGGTTACATTTGATTTTGAGTTCAATTCATAGATCATTTTAGCAACTTTCCAATAATTTTACCTCACTAAAATACTAATTTACTTAATTTCAGTAAAGAATCTTTGTTGATTTCTGTAATATTCTATGGAGATTTGTAGGAACCTCTGAAATCTTTAAAAAAAATTTGATAGTTACTTTCATAATTGTCAACTATCTGCATAAAAATTAGTATATTTCAATTCGAATTTTGAAAATGGGCGTAATGAATTGGGATTTCCCATATTTGGCCGGGTCATTTTGGGGCAAGCGGATATCTTTAACACAACATACTGATTTAAAACCTTAATATATTGTTATCTTGTGTTAAACTTTCGTACAAAAATCCATAATCAGTTTTGTTTTATGATTAGAATCCTAGACTTCGTCGTTTGACAAAACTCATCATAAAATTGGATGTATAAATCTTAGATGTCTTCATTAGACATGACTCGACATACATTTTCATAAATATATTTTTTTTTATGTTTTGTCCATTGCTTCACAAAATTTGGCATAAGAACATTGCATAAAACTTTGATCTTTCAACAATATGACAACATGATCGGCCTAAACAAACATTACTTTTTAATGAACTGAATTAGAAAGTTGTGAACAACAAATTTGTAGTTTGTCTTGTTTTTACTAAACCAATAAAATTTTAATATTGTAGATTATAACATCCTTTAACTTTGTTTGAGAATAACCTATTCAATTAATTTGTATTGTTTATGACAAAAAATAAATTATTCTCTTAGACCACATCAACTTCAATTTGTTTCATAATTTATTTTTAAATGTTTTTAGTATAGAATTCTGATACCCTAGTAGCATCACTTTTTATAAAATAATCATCTTTATTTATTTGAAATTACTATATTCGGTGATAGATCTCGAATATACTTTAAATAGAATTTCATTTGAAGAAAAGCAAAAACAAATACACATTCTTGAAATTCAATTTATTCATCCGTCTTGCTTTCTTCTTTAATCTATTTTTTTTCTTATTTGATTTCTTTATGCTTGAAGTTCTTTTCTTTTTTGTTTTTTTTTAGTCGGTGTCTTCTTTTTCTTTGCGTCATTCTTATTCGATTTATTCTTCATATTCACTGATATACTTGTCTTCTACTTTGCTATTTTTCTTCCACTCGTATTGCATCCTATTTTTTTCTTGTCTGGTTTCTTCTCTTTCGTTCTTATTTGATTTTTTTTTTTCTTTTTCAGTTTCATCTTCATTGTTTTTTATTCGGTTTTTCTGTCTTCATCGATGTTCTTCTTTGGCTTTTTTTTTTCTTCCTACTTTAGTATCTCCATCTTCCCTGTTTTTCGGTTTAATCCTCTTATGTACTTCTCCTAAAGGTGAAAAATGATCATGATAGTTCGAGAACTATCATGAATCTATATGTTACTTGAAAAATGATCATGATAGTTCTCCGTAATGATCATCCGAAATAAAATCATTTTTCGGTTTCATTCTCTTACTATACTTCTCCTATATGTTCATCTTTCTTCTTGTTCTTTAATTTCTTTGATGAATATTTCTTGCGGAATAAGTTGTGTGCTGTTTTAACAGTGTCAATTTTATTATAAAAAGAAAATATTTTCTTTAAGTTTGTATATAGAAATATTATTAGCAAATATTTTCTTTAAATTTGTATAGAGAAATCTTTAAAATTAAATATCGTGAAAGCGTTTTTTTTGTATGAATGTTTAGATATCAGTAAATAGTTGTATTTAACATATTTATTATTTTAAATTATTAAAATGAACTTTTATATGTATTGAAACTTCAAATGCTCTTTTGTTTAATTTATCAATAATTTTAACTTAACACATGTGTTTAGTTTATAAACTTTGATTCAATGTTAATAAATAAAACATAAATAATTTATGTTATTTATAAATTAGGCATAAATAATTCGAACAAAACTTTTGTTTTGATCATGCAACTTGAAATGTTTCCTCATAAACATATGGTATGAACTGAATGATCAAATCTACTATTCTCCAAAGCAATGCAAGTATAATGTTTACTTCTTTGGCCATTATTGTTGAAACTTTTGCGATGAACAAAGTGTTATCTAGTGGGCTAGATGCATGTTTTACTTCCATTAATGTAATAATGACACTCTCAAAGTTGATCTCTCTCATCATCTAAAAAAACTACATATGAGCTAAAATGTCTTCTACATGACATGAGACATTTTTTTTTTCTTTTAATTTATTTTTAGACTATGTAATGTGATCCACTTACAAAATTTGTTAAGTTCGCTATGAACAATTCTCCTTATTATGGTGTAACTCTCGTTTTTGTGATTAAAAAAACTAACTCATGATCTATATAATTCTTCATAACTAATTTTGTAGTTCTCCAAATGTTTTTATATAAATATTTCAAATTTAGTTATTAAATCAACGTCAACTTTTAACAAAAATCAAAGAATTTTGTTTAATCTTTGGATTTTATTTGTGATGTTTTTAATTCCAATCTTGTTATATTTTGATTGTTATTATATATATATATATATATTAAAATTAATAAAAAAATAAACATGTTAAGTTAGTTTCATTTTGCTTGGTATGAAAAACATATATTTTATTTTATAAACTCTTTAATACAAAAAGTCTATATTATTTTTGAATTAGGAAACATTCTTGAAAAAGAAAAAAGAAATTACCTTATTTTATATGGTGATGTGGAATTATACTATTGGTCTTTTAAATTTCGGAAACTTTCTTAATCTTTAAGATGCTTACGTGAACCAATGAAATCGCGTCTTTAAATCCTATGTGGACGCTCTCAGAGGCTTATAGCCTCAACTTTTATATAGTATAGATGTACAGTAAAAATTGGTTATAAAAAAATGGTCACACGTACGTATTACCATTATTATCTTCACCATTCTTTCGAATTTGTCATCCGTTTTTTGGATGGCTCATTTCACAAATTCGACGTGAAAGATTAATATTGAAACAATCTCACATTCAACTGCTTTCTTGTTAGCTCACGACGAGTGCATGCATTTGATTACTTCATGCATCTTTCGTTTTAACAAGAAGTGGCCCCATAAATAAAATATCAGTCCCCGATCCTTAAAGAAAACTCTTTCTGAAGAAGAAGAAGTCACCAGCTGAAACAAACCCTAATTTCTCTCAGTCATGCAGACTCCGAGACCTGAAACAGCGAAACCGCTCCGAGTCTTCTTGGTTTCGGGTGCGGTAGTGTCCGTGTGTTGTGGCTTTGGTATGTAGAGAGAATAGAGAGACTTTTACTCTTTTTTTTCTTTTTTATGTTCTTTTTCTCCATGAATGAATCAGCTTGTTGATCTTAAGATTCTTAAATGTTTTAAGGTGCTCTTATTTTAAAGAGAAGAAAGCTAAATGAGAAGATGTGGCAAGACGTCCAAGCAGATGTAGGTAAAAGCAAAAGTCAAGAAGCATTTGAATGAAGAAGATTGCTTATTCTTTCTCATCTTTTCATTCTCTTTGTGTGTTTCAGAGCGTGCAACCAAGGAGGGAAAAACAGTGGGGATTGGTATGAAACATAATCATTTCACCGGAAAAACTGAAGTTTGGACGATACCGATCGGTTATGAGGTCAAAACCAGAGAGACGAAAAAGAAAAAATTGTGATTTTGTATCAGAAGGGTATGAGGTCAAAACCAGAGAGACGAAAAAGAAAAGAAAAGAAAAGGAGTGAGACAATTACAAGAAGTAATTTCATTTAATAAAAGAATTTGGGAGTGTATGTTTGATCTTGAATTTGTTGTCTATGAAGTAAGAAAATTTGCTTATGTTGAATTTAGTGTTGTTATGTGAATATCATCAAGCTTGGCCTATGGTTAGACACAGAACTACTGAACTGTGATGCATGATTCACTTTAGCATACAACATCTCATAAAATAATGTAACAAAGTAACTGAGAAATTTGTGTAACTAAGAAAAGTGGGTCATCAATAAATTATCTGAACGAATGTCCTACACATGCCAAGAACTCGAATAAATATATTAAATATACGGAAGCTAGCTCATGACCAATGATAGTGCTAAGATATGTATATGACATCTTATAAAAGTAGTACACATAACAGGGAAAAGAAAAGCAAGTACTATTCACAAATCACTATAGATATTAACTAGTTTGCAATTCAACAGTAATGTAGGGAACAGACGAAATCAGTTCTAGAAAAAGAAAATACGAGAAGGGAGACATGAGGCAGTAAATTTTCTTGAGCAGACAAAGCCATAAATCATTTCATCAATGTCTTTATAGATTGATCTATACATGCATGTCTTTGTGTTTTATTTTTTGTTCTTTGTACGTGGCCACTGGCCAGCAAAACTTATGAGAAATTTATCAAGATCCTACTGTTACGTAGGAGTTTCCGCATATCACTATAGAGTTGCTACATTTTTTCCTATCTAGAGCTTTTTAGATCGTTCTCTTATGGATGTAAATTATTGTACACGTGGAAAGGAAGTTAAATACATGCAAACAAAGAAAACGATAGTGCGATAAAAGAGATGGGACTAGACATACGTAGACATGAAAATCTTTGAAGATTAATGGAGTACTGCTCATTTAATCAGGCCTTCGAATTATTGCTTTTGAGTTTCCTTATTTTTTGTTTTATTATGTTTAATAATATCGACATGATTGTCAAATATACAACTTTTTGTCACTTGTGTGGTATCAATCTACCGCAGATACTTCGTTAACTGGCAATCATTCGCACAATATTTAGGGTTCGATTGGTTCAGAAGCCATAGACGCTTTTATTACATTATAACATATATTTTTCACTTTAATTAATACTAGTAGAGTACCCGCACGTTTGTGCGGTGTGACGTTGTTGTTTTGTGTAGAAAATTTAAACCCTAAATCCGAACCCGACAAAAAACCCTAATCAAAAAATTTAAAAACCCAAACTTTTTTAATAGGTCTAAACATGAAAATCCGAAATAAAAAAATCCCGAAAACCCTGACTGAACAAAAAAAATCTGGAAACTTTTTCACCCGGAACCCGACCCCAATACCTAATCAAAATTTTAAAATACTCAATTTTTTTAATATATCTAAACCCGAAAACCAGAAATCTAAAAAATCCGGAAAACCCTAAACTGAAAAAAAAAATTGAACCTAACCCGAACAGAAATTTTCAAAGAAACCCGAACAATTTCTATATCTCTATATATATCTCTATAAAATTATGTCTCAGATTTTCACCCAAACCCGAACTTGTCTATAAAAACCCGAAAATCCAAAAAGCATATTCTATTGATTTGGAATTATCGTTAGATTATGTTAAGTTTTTTTTTTGCAGATTTTTAAGAGATGGAAAACGGAAGTTTTCTAAACCATCGGTTTATTTTAAGTTATTATTCTTGTATCCAAACAATTTTTTCCATTTATTCTTCTATCCAAATAGATTTTTCTCTTATTCTTATATCCAAACAACTTTTGTTTCCATTTATTCTTCTATCCAAATAGATGTTTCTCTAATTCTTGTATCCAAACATTAGAATGTACTTCTCAATTAATAATATAAAGATGTGAATAAAAACTTTGGTTTGATGATATAAAGGTTAATTAGCAAAAGGTTCGATCGAGAATCATTTCTGGAATTTGATCTCACTCACCATTCACCAACATATAAATTGTGGGGCAAGGCGGATCTTTAAGAAAACGTTTAAAAACTGTTTTTTAATTTAAATTGATAAAAAATGACAGAAAACTTTATAGAAGAATATCTATCATTGGTGTCAAGCGAATGCAACCACAGTTGTTTTTTCTTTTATAAATAGTTGTATTTTTTTATAAGAAAATCGAATCATGAGGAATACATCCCATGTGGCCATATTTGATGTTAAATTAGAGTAGAAAGTGTCGCTTCAACCCATTTATCGGGGGAGAAAGATCGAAGTTAAACTGAAACATCAATAATTAATTTAAAACTTGAAACGGGAAATAGATATTTAATAAAAAAACTTGAACAACTAGAAATCACAGAAGATGCCTTGAGGAAACCAACATAACACTGACTACTTGTATACCCAAGTCTTGTCAACTATTATAACAGCATCGTTTATTGATCCATGATGCATATTTGTAGATGTTGCTTTTTAACGGTCGGCTATCATCTCTGTTTTAATTTGCAACTGTAAATAAGATAATCTGGTTAAAAGTGTTAGAAATAACAATATTCTATTGGAGGCTTGGAGCAGGCATTTTTTAGTGTTATTATACTTATTTATTTCTGGTGGCTGAGTTTTCTACTAGCAGTTGGTGAACTTGTAGCAGTAATTAACAAGATATTCCAACTATTCAGTTGTACGTATAGTATAACCCTTTTTTTGACAAAGACGTATAGTATAACTCATTAGCCCTATGTTAAGAAAGTTAATTCGTTTGTTATTTAAGACTTCTAATCAGTATTTAAGTTAATAGGTCTTTTTCTCTTCTAAGAGTGCTTTTTTTTAACACTGGATTGACTAATTTAATATACAAATATGAGAACTGTTACAAGACAATTCTACAATGGACAATTCTACCATCTCTAAAGGCTCCGGCCGACGGCTCCACGTGCACCATTCTGTAGACCTCTTGTAAGCTTGTCTCTAATAATCTGCATAAATTATTAGCAAATCGCATTTGCCGGGATTCGAAACCCAAACCTCCTGGTGTAGAAGCATTAAATCTCTTCTAAGAGTGCTGGTATTCGTGTTTTTTTTTCTTTTTATCTAAGAGTTTTGTTGAAAAGGTTAATTCTTTCAAGATATTTTCATTTTTGTAGTTTGTTATGGGTCTGATTAATTTGTTATACTGTATTATAGAAGAATTTTTTCGGATTATGTCTGTATACATAATTTTTTGCTGTATTACACCTTGGCTAAGTCCAATTGTTGAGAAAGAGAAAAAATATTATGAATATGAAATGGTATGTTTTGAGCTTTTTTTTTAAGGGTCTATATGTTTTGAGTTAAATTAATAAGGAAATTCAATCATTGATAATGATGCTATGTACAGTGGCGAATCCATAAATTTTTTTAACCGGGTTCAAATAAAAAAAAATAATAATAATAATAAAAATTTCATATATTATCCTACAAAAGCATTTGCGATTTATTATATCTTGAGATGAACATAAAAGCTTATTCTATAAAAAAAAAAAAAAAAAAAAAAAAAAAAAAAAAAAAAATCTATGTCTGTTGTCTAATACTCAATCAACAATGAAAGTTTATTCAATCAATTTTGTTTTAGTTCATATAATCACTAAGGAATAAAATAGTCGAACCAAATAACAATTACACAGCTTACTCATCAAATATATAAATAATAAACTCCTTAAGTTAAAAAACATACCAAGAATCATAAACGAAGAATCAGCCATTAAACAAACATAGAAACAGCTAACAAGCAAGCAAGAGAAAAAAAAAAAAAAAAAAAAAAACAAAATAAGAACTAGATCATAAAATTAAACTTACTCAGTTGCAATTGTTTGGTTTAAATTGGAAAAGGATTAAGAAGATGAACAGAATTTGGATGATAAGATAAAGAGACAATCACATTTGGTTTTAGGGTTAACAAAGAAAGGGATTTTTTTAATGGATTAGTGTTAATTAACAAGCAAAACATTTATGATTTAGTAAGTTAATAATAATCTTGGGTCTTTCTAGATATGTTAATATGAAAGCCCAATAGTAAAATATGGAATAAAGTCTAGAATTTTCTTATGGGTTCAGAATAAATAAAATAAAGTTAGAAGAAATAAAAGCTTATGGGTTCAATTACAATTTTTAAGTGGTGTCAATATCATAAAATGCATATAAACTATAGAAGAATTTTTAGAATGTTACGGTGTCAACTGACACCGTATCCGTTAACGTAGCTTCGCCACTGGCTATGTATGTATGTAAGGTTAGTTAATTCAAGTGATCATGTAGTGAGCAACTAGTATAAGATTAGCTATAGATATATAGCACCCATACGGCCATCCCTCATTAGCTATAGCTATCATCTGTAATTTGGATTCTCCAATTGTGCTGTGTCAAACCATTTTAGTAGCATATGTATCTTTATTATGATCTATGTACAAGGAATTTTCTGCATCCACTTTTTTGTTGTTTTATTAATGTATATCTAGTCTAGATAAAATTTGTATATATTTAAAGCTCTCTGCATATTTTTAGTTAGGTACATACAAATAAATCCTGCAATTTAGCATTAAATAAACTCAGGGATTCCATTACTACCGCTTGGAAATGTTCAAGTAATGAAGGCCTTTTAACAAAAAAAAAATGTTCAAGTACCAACTAATTCTGAAATTGACAGTATATTTTTCATATATAGGGGCTAAAATTTAATGTTATATATATACTCCTATGATTTACCGCTTTGTGACAATAATACCTCTTTCAACAACAAATGTGGTATACTTAAAGACATAAGCGAAATAAAAATTTAGAACATGTGTATAATGCATTATGCGTATGCATATGTATGATGTATATATGTATTTCGAAAAGACAAAGGAATGGGAGTTATCAATGTGTGACAAGTGAGAGCAGAAATCTATGACCAAACTATTCACCAGTATTAAGTGTTCACAGGAAGGGAATTCTAAGTTTTTCTTCTGACATTTTTGTTTTGTTGTTATAACAAATAAATTGGCAGAAAACGAATCATTAATATTATATGTATGGACCATTTTTTCGCCCGCAAATTTATATTTATGTTTTGGAAAGATAACACGAGTGTGTGGATAACAATTTGCATAGTAAAAAATAGAAAGAAATCATACACAACTGGATTTTAAGTACAAGAACTTATACAAGGGTACTTAACAAGTGAATAATCCTAAATCCTTGAAGAAAAAAAAATAACAAGTGAAAAACCCAAAAGTACGTATTCAAATTTAAATCATATTTAATAATAACACGAATTAAGCTAAGAGGTCTTCAATTCTTCGTTCATTTGTCTCTCTTTCCTCCAAGGAGATTTCCTCCATTTTATCATTTGCTTTTAATTATGATGATGATTATGGCTATGGATGTATGATTATGAAGATAATGATGTTGAAACTCTCGGGGCACATAGAAAAAATAGCTTTTTAATCGATTTTCTTCAAACCCTAGAAAAGGAACAAATATACACACTCATGTTATTCTTTTACCAGTACTGGTTTACGTAGATTTTATTCCCTCCGTGCATATGGGAGGAGATTAAATCAACCTACATCCAATAACAAGACCAATAATTATGAAATCAAAACCAGCTTTTCAACAATTTAAAATAATAATAGTACTAATAATTAGGTAGTTGAAGAGACAAGCCCAGAAGAAACTCACGAAAGCAGGCTTTTGTGTTTGTGTCGACATGTGATTAATTAAGAGAAAGAACAGAAGCTGTTGCTGTTGAGCCCACTTCTGTCTACGTAATGTTCTCTTTCTTCAACCTCTTCCTAGATTAAGCATGCAACACACGATTATCTATTACTGTTTAACTGATTCTTATCTATTCTTGATTCTCCTTATATATATTATTTGTAAATAATCAGTTTTATAAAAAAGGAAATAAAATACCTGAAGCTGTGCCTGTGTGGGTATTATAGGACCATCCAAAAGTGAAGAAAATTGGGTAGTAATTATTGGCATTGTATTGGTAAAAGACACTCTTACTTCTGTGGATCCCATCTGCTCATGAGCAACATACTTAATTAACTGTGATCGATAACCTGGCTATTGGGACTACCGGAAACCGGTTTATTTTTAACCGGATTAAGTGAATGAGAGATGGAGTGTCAATGTAGTACCTCGGGTCTCACTATGAGGCCATCAAGGTCCGAACCAAAGTCATAGACCACAGGACTTATAGATGTTAACTTCATGGAGAGAAACTACAATGAAAAGGAAAATAATTGTAATTTATATATATTATTTTCAGTCTAAAATGTTGCAAGAAAATTATATATAGAAATGCACCTCAACTTGATTCTGCAAAGATTGGACATAATTTATAATCTCATCCAACATGAGGGCCTTCCCTGTTACCTATTCGTTTTCAAGTCACACTTTTGATTAAAGAATCTTTCTAAAAATGAAATAAAATTAAAACATCATAATAATCTCTCTAGCTAACCTTATTACATCCTGGAACAAGATTTTGGAGAATCTTCATCCGATCACTTATCTTTTCCCTTCTCACCTATAAACCAGGTATTAATTATTATTATTATTATATTTTGAATAAAAACCATGATTAATGAAATAATTACAAATTAGGAGGAAAATGACTAAATTACCCTCTCGGCGAGGCTGTGGCTATCAGTAGCTTGGCCTCTTCTGGCTCTAACGTGAATGTAATCTTTGGGAGCTTCTGTTTCGCTTACTCTCTTCTCTTTGACGTCACTTGGGCTACCATTTCTCTGTTTTTTACTTTTTCTTCCCTCGACTCCCTAATTGACAAAACCATCCGTAACATTTACGTTTTTTTGTCTATCACAACCCTGTCCCAAACATGAAACTACATTACAACTTTACCTTGGAGTTAAACCCGTTTCTTATCTTCTTCTGACGCTTATTTCCGGCGGAGGCATTGGATGGTCCGCGGCTGAGCTGGTCGCCGGAAGAAGAACCGGTTGTGTTGGTGTTTCTTTGTTTCTTAACATCAGAGCTTTCGGTTTTGTCAACAGTGTATAATTCAAGAAACGGGTTCAATGAAGTATCTTCGGTTGTAGAAGTGTTTGGTGTTGAATGGAGAGGATTTTGGTCGATGAAACCAGAGGGCTTAATGGAGGAGTTAGTTGTGGGGAAAAGAAGAGTATCAAGAAGGGAATGAGGGTAGTTTTGGAAATAAGAGAAAGTTGCCATTTGAGAGTGGAAGCTTCGTAGCTCTTATCTTTCTGTGATGAAAAGAGAGTTTTTTTTCTTGTTCTTGTTTGTGGGAAGAACGATAAAGGACACGAAATGGTTTAAATAAGCAAATTGTTTTTGTATTCAGTGAGACAGGAGAAACAGAGGAAAGGGTATTCTGGGGACCACTCCTCTTCAACTATTTTATACTTAAAAAAAACTTTTTAATTGAAAAGATTACTACCATATTTCGGCGGCTAATTTTTGCGAGAGTATATATGTTTTTTTCACAAAGTTATTTTTTATTTAATAACGAATAGGATATTGTATATTACTAAAGCTTAGTATTACTGTGGTAAAAAAACAGAAGTTTATCTCGTGTATATCATTAACAACAAGTCTCACTGTGTATACATTCCATAATATATAGGATGTTTAAGGTTTTTCACAAAAATTAAGAAACACTAGGAAAATACCCGCACTTTGCTGCGGGAGATTGTCATTGAATGTTTTCTTGTGTTTGTATTAATTAAATTTAAGATATTATACTTTGGTATTTTAATCGAATGTGATTACTTTACTTTGCTATTTCCTTACAATCATATCAAAATTGTTGCATACAAAAAAGATACAGTAAGCATATACTGATTTTCTCTTCCTCTCTTTTCTCACAGTTTATAAAAAAACATGATTTACGCAAGTATTTGTGAATATGACAAACCTCATCAAGTCCTCAGCAATCAAGAACTAAAGCGATAACATGTGCTCACATCAGACTCTTTCTTGATTGCATGATACTTAAAAGACGCTGGTCCTTTGTCTCGCTCTCTTCTCTCGAACCGACCAGCAGTGTCAACCTTAACAAACGAAGTGAATAAGATTAAAAGCTTGTCCTAAATTTTGTAAGAGAAGCAGGAAAATATTAAGACCTTGAAATATTAATAAGCACAATTCAAACCACTATCAAATATTAATAAGCACTCATAATAGACAAAGTTCACCATATTTATGTGAAGAGTATATTAAACTATCAAACTATGATGAGAGAAGCGAAATAAGTAATGTCATACATTTGACAGCCTAGGCAAGTTACTCATATAGCTCTATGACACAGAAATATGAAATCATCAATACTAAGGAATCCCGATCCTCATAACTCAACCCTGTGGACCAGTGGGAGACATGGAAATGCTTGAGATTTGTGTAACTGAAGTCTCACAAATAGAAGAGAGAAGGAAGAGGAAACCACAAACTCGTAAAATTCATGAAACATACGATTAAGATTGAGTTGCATATGAGGAGAGAGGAGAGTGGAGACTGATGAAGGAGTTCAAGAAGAAGTTTAATCATCTTTCTATTATAAACTATCGACACTAACCATTTTTAAAACACTAAAAAGAAAAGTGAAAATCAACGAAAACCTAGATAACAACAAAAAGGGGAAATCATTAACTTTTAAAACTTTGACACCAGATCAAACATGTTCATGTGGCCTACTACAGATAAGCAGAACCTAAAAAGCTTTATAGAAATCAAAAGAGGTTCTGTAAACTATACAATAGATATAGGATAATAAAAAAAGAAATGAAATGCATAAAGACAAACGTACAATCACATGAGAGAAGATGAGAAGACGATAAGATATACTGCAGATTCACCAGCGAATGAACACCACTTTAATGGAGATACTGCAGATTCACACAAAATGAAAAACATTTGAGAACGAAAATTCAGACTTTCATTTCAAATTGTTTCAGAATAATCAAAAGAATATTGAAATGCAAAACTCTACCTTTTGGAGAGGTGCTCCAACGAAACTCAATCGAAGCTTTATGATTAACTGTGGCACAAATCACACATTGACGAAATCAAGCCGGAGGTGAAACGGCGGAGAGCACGAAACATACATATCTCCAACTCGAAATTTCCGGCGCCAATCGGAACTAATAAGTGAAGTTTCCGGTTAGTAGGGAGAAAGCGACGGCGATGAAAATCTAGATCGGTGTCTGGTCGGAGTAGTGATCGGAGTGGGACTCTGAGATGCTGCTCAATCGGAGCTCATGGGACTTGCTCGGATCTTCGTTTTGTCGTTGGTACAGATTCGAGTGGTGAGCTGTTTAGCGAAGCGAATTGGGCTTCCGATGTGAGCCAGGCGCGAAGTTCACGGAGAGAGCGGTGAGATTCCAGCGGAGAGAAGGAAGCAGCTTCCGGATTTGGATTCGCCGTCTTCCAGGAAAACAATAAAAAGTACACGGAGAGAAGATCGAGAAAATAGGTAAACCTGATTTAACGAAGAAGATAATCAAACCGGAAGAAAAACGTGGCAGGCTTAAACCAAAAATTTGCTGACTGGTATTAAATGAAATGTTTCCATTGGCTATTTGATTTTAATGAGGTGTCACCTCCAGAACACTTAAAAATGCTTATGTGTCAAGACTTGGAAAGGCACAGGAACCTTGCTGTGTTGATTTAAGGTGTCAATTGTTTTTCCACACCAACCATTTTATACATAAAAAAAATACTTTTGATTTAAAAGATTACTACCATATTCCTCCTTATTCAACATTTTGTCCTTACATGCACTCGTACGAACTGTTGGATTAGTCATAAAAGCTACACATATTCAAATCCTTGTTCCTACTTACCTTAGCAACATAAAATGTGAAGTGTGATAACTTTATGAACAACCTTGATATTCAAATCCTTGAGCCTCTGAATCCTAACATAAACTATCGTCGATCGACCATAACTGCAATAAACCCTTTTCCATATCTGCGTATGTTTCACTAAGAACAACAAATGACATCCAAATCACGGAAGTCTCTCAACTTAGCCCAATGGAGTTCCTAACCCAAAACCCCATTCTTAGCTAACTTAACATTTCTAATACATTATATTAACTAGGTTCATCACCATTAATAGTGCATTAAACATTACGAGTTTAATGGCATCTATCCTTGATTTGGTGGTTCATATTTTACACACATAAGAAGATTAGCTTAACTGACAAAAATTATCTTATAAGTTACAAGTGTTTAACCACACTATTTGGTTATTACTGATCAATTACAGCAAATCAAGAATCGAACAAATATGCAATCCAACCAAACTAAAATCATAATTGCATCGTCTAGTATCCTAATCCATGTACGCAAGGGAAGAAACTCACTAAGCAAGGGCGTTGCCGTTAAGCGCAAATTAATATCACATATTTAAGGGCATCAAATACAGCAAAATTATGTGAGGTATCGTTGTTTTATTTGCTTGAAGTTGCATAGTTTTTTTTTCTTTACTTTTTTTTTAGTTCGACTCTTAAATGTATGAAACTACTACTTTTTGTGTTCTTTAATTCTTCAAGGGATATGTTTATTATTGTGCTAATATATTTTTCTTTTTTAACTCAAGAATGTAAACACTACGGACCGAGCGGGCCTGCATGTACGCATGAATGATGATCGATCAAACATCACCAAAAACCAGTTGTGACCACGCAAACGGTTTATAAAGAAGGGTAATTTTACTAATTTCCGATTTTGGTTTTGTTATTACTTGTTTGGAATCAGGTTTACATAACTGGAAATTCTACACCCTATGCTTATTCCGGTTTAGATCATTAGATGGTTCTTTTTTTTTTGAACAACTGTCATTAGATGGTTCTACATGAGTTAAACCATCTATACTTTCATCCAGTCACTACCCTATCCAAAAGTACCGTACGTTTAGCTCAAAAGCTAAACAAGATTGTAGAAGAATAAGGTAAATATGTTTGTAATGACGCGTATGTCTCTCTCACTAGCTTAATACAAACTTTTGTCCCATTCCCACCTTTGGATCGACATGGGAAGTTTCGTTTACACAAGACGACAAAACTGAAAGGGAAAAAGAAAACACAAATAAAAAAGTGTGAATAAGGTGTGTAGTCTAATCCCACGATACCGTTGGGTATACAAAAGAAGACAAACAATCATAAATTGACCCTTTTTGTTTTGATGTAATTGGGTACTTGACACTTAATTTTCTTTATCTTTCTTTCTATGATTAGGAGGTCCTGGATAGAAATTCTTACATCTTTCAGAGTCGGGATTATAGCATGTTATTATGTGATCTCTAGGCTTTGGTTGATTAATATGTATGGATATATGGAATGGTAATGTTATAATGTTTTTATTCTTTTTTATTTTTCTAAATGGTAACTGTTTCATTAGAAATGAACTGTTAAGGTTTTACACGAAGTGAAAGCTAGAGAATTGGTACCATGGCAAAAAAAGAATAATAAAAAAAAAAAATTGGTACCATGGCAAAAAAAGAATAATAAAAACATGGAAGCAAAAACAGACACTAGATTCGGTCCATCGACTAAACTAAAGCTTTTCAGCTCTTGTTGTCAAGATGAAACTATAACGATTCATGAAAAAACGAGAGACGGTAGAAGAACAAAAGTGGAGCAAAAAACCAAATGCATATAGAAAAGAGTTACTAGCATGTCATATATCTTAAAACTGTCTTTAGACTAGTTTGTTAGATTAAATATTTAGCTCTTGAACTTTAGTTAATGAATACGCTCTTCAATATAAAATAAATACTGATAAAACTATAGAAGAGATTAGACTTTAGAGCATATAAAGCATGTTAATCAGGAACTTACGAAATAATATTGTCTTATTTGACCTGTGTTTCATGTCCAAGGCACGCGAGTGACTTAGTGTGTAAGCCCAATATGATATACATCATTGAATGTTTCTTCCAGATGAGAGGCATTGAGCAATGAGCAATCGCACCATACTTTTCTTCACCAATCTGCTTCTATTCTTTGTACTGATTACATTTAAAACAAAACAGAGGTACAAAATAAAATAAAATACTAAAATGTGATATAGAAATGAATTTTGAATGAGAAATTAGGTAGAATACCTAGTAAGTGGTGATCTAGTGGTTCTATTCAAGGTTTCTAGTTTAATTCTACATGGAATGAGTGATTTACATGTTTTACATAGACTCTCTCAGAGTTTATCTAAAAATCATAAAATTATCTAAAAAAAAGCTAAGAGTCAAAACTACTCTAAACATAGATAAAGAAGGTGGACAAGGGAAGTACCTTGGCCTACCAGAGAGCTTTGGCCGTAAAAAGAAGGATCTCTTCACCCTGATAGTTGACCGTATCCGACAAAAATTAATCCACTACTCGTCAAGATTTCTCTCCAACGCCGGCAAAGTTACAATGATCAAGTCCGTCCTTGCCTCTATCCCCACCTACTCCATGTCATGCTTCAAGCTATCTACAGGGTTGTGTAAACGCATTCAATCAGCCTTGACTAGGTTTTGGTGGGACACAAAGCCTGGAAAGCGAAAAATGTGCTGGCTTGCTTGGGGAAAACTTACCAGACCAAAAAACCAGGGAGGACTAGGCTTCCAAGAGATACAAAGCTTCAATAACTCTCTCCTAGCGAAGCTGAGCTGGAGAATCCTCACCAAACCCGACTGTCTCCTAAGCAGAATCCTAAAAGGAAAGTATTGCCGAGACACTGACTTCCTCAACGTTCCAATTACCTCCTCCACTTCACATGGCTGGCGAGGCATTTTAATTGGCCGAGACCTTCTGAAGACTAACTTGGGGAAAGTCATTGGCGATGGCAAGGATACGTCACTGTGGAACGACCCCTGGCTCTCCCTGGAACACCCTACCCGTCCCACAGGACCACCAAACCTACACGACAAAGATCTCAGAGTCTCAGCAATCATCAGAGAACAAACCGGAGAATGGAACCAAGAGGAGATCCAAAAAATATTACCCCACCAAAGCCATCTCATCCGACCAATCAGGCCAAGTAAGAAAGGAGCACCCGATGCCTATATCTGGCTACCTACAAAGACCGGAGTCTATTCAGTTAAAACGGGCTACTATGCAGCAATGCTTCAACAAGAAGAATAGAGCTATCAGTCGGACCACCCCAATTTCAACTGGAACGCCTCAATATGGCACGAGAAAATATCCCCCAAGATAAAAGTTTTTCTATGGAAAATTATACAAGAAGCTTTACCTATCGGAGAAAACCTCTTGAATCGAGGAATCCCAGATTCCGCCTGTTGTGTTCACTGCGGTGATCTAGAGACTATGAAACACCTCTTCTTCCACTGCAAATTCGCAAAAGCAGTCTGGAACCTAGCCCCTATCTCAATCCCGCTAGACTCATCCCACTTCCAAAGCTTTCTCTCAACCCTCTCAATCTCCAAAACCTGGACTTGTCTCCCACCCACAGGCGTAAGCAATGGACCTCTCTTCCCATGGGTTTGCTGGACCATAAGGAAGTCGCGAAACTACTGCATTTTGAAGATCGCCAATTCTCCCCTGAAGAAACAATCAGTAAAGCTGTTAAAGAGGCAAGAGAATGGCAACAAGCCCAACACCCCACGAAGACTATCCAACGACGATCTAACCTATCATACCCGAGTGTAACAAACCCAAACGTCTATTACCTGTACACAGATGGAGCCTGGTGTAAGGATGCATGCATCGGAGGAGCGGGATGGATCTTCATCGACAACGAAGGCACCGAACTACACCAGGCCAGGCAGCGGAGCGATTCGTCTCTTCCCGCTGATGGCAGAGGCAATGGCAATCCGATCGGCACTCAACTATGCCTTGGATCAAGGAATCGCCAACCTCAAACTTCTCTCAGACGCTCAGGATCTCATCCGAGTCATCAATACGCAGGAGCAATCGAAGGAGATCTATGGTCTTCTTTTTGATATCTTCACTCTTGCTTCAATGTTCGATTCAATCTCTTTCCACTTCATCCCTAGATCTAAAAATCTTTTGGCTGATTCTCTTGCAAAGAACGCCAAAGAGATTTTTGTTGTTTCAATGCCGATATGGGTCCCACCGTGTAGTTGGATTTCGTCTAATGAATTAATGAATGTTGTTCAAAAAAAAAAAAAAATCTAAAAAAAGGATGAGATAGATTACTTCACTCTCAGAAACTGACTCATAAGATTATTTTTAAATCACCAAGTAAATCAACCTAGAGATAGATGTTTATATGTTTCCATATACGATTTAGATATCCAAAGAAGTCTCAATCCTCATGATACGAGAGATAACCTTTACTGGTCACAATCTAATATATTATCGCCTACAATGCGATAAAAATAATAAAGACAACATTAATTCAAATTGAAATTGAGTTTTGTAATTGTACGACTCTCCTTTCTCTGTTCCATTCAATTTACGTATCTATGCAGAAAATCTCCAAAGATTTAATAGTACCTGTGCAACTGGCACTAGCTAGCTAGCTAGGTTCCATTATGTGACATCGCTTTCTTGTACACAAATATCAAATTCAACATGAAACAATTTATCTTAATACTATGTTATCTCAGTTTCAGTTTCCCTTTTAGTCAGTAAACCAACATGGAATATAAATACTATTAGCATGGATTCTATTGAATTCTGACAATTCTTATATTTTAGCTTTGTGGTAAATGTTGTTGTAATAACCTAGAGTAGTTAATCATCATGAGCTTTTTGTCCGGTCTAGTCCAAAATGTTGTCAGTGCCCCCATATTCCATAAAGACCGGACCAAAACAGATCTTAAGGAGTTATTCCTCAAGTTTCCAGGTTGATAAATGGAGAGATGATGGGAGTTGCTAAAGCACCAAATAATAACCAGGAAAATGTTACTTAATAACAGTGACACATGTATTTTATAAAATCCTAGAGCTTATATTATTGTTTATATTATTTAAGTTCGCTTTCGGTTTGATAAACATGGGCTCAGATTCTATATCCACTAAGCTGAACAAACAAAATGATTCTAAAATAAATAACCAATAAATTGCAAAAATATATGAAAAAATAAAAATTATAGACTAACTAACGGTTTAGCCTTGCGTACATGGCCCATGCTATTAACGAGATCTTTACGTGTACACACAGGGAACATGTTGACGTTCTTGAGAACTTTCAATCGCCATAAAACGTATGGGAAACTCAACTGATCACGCGAAGTGTATCGTACCACTTCATTGAACCATAGGCACATGAACAGATTCGTCAGTGGAGTCTGTTCCCTCACAATCACAGAAGCTTCAGACAAAGCTGCAAGTAGAAAAAGAAAAAAAACATCACAAAACTTCATCAGCCACAAAAGAAATTTTGCTAGCACACAGAGAGAGTTTTTACCTTTTTTCCCGTTGAATCTTTTATCTTCGGGTAATTTGTCAGTCCGGTATTGGTTTATCTGCACTTGGACTTCTTCTGGTGTAGCTTTGTGTTTCTTGACGACAGCTTTTGCCTCGTCGTATACGCTGCTTCGAGCTCCATGTTCTGATATCGCAAGCACCGAGTTTGTTCGCCAAAGAAGAGCATCTAACACACCCAGTGGGTCTCTCCTAAACTGCGACTTGGAGTCTACCCATATCGAGTACTTGGCATTTGGGAAAAGCCGATGCGACAACATCTAACAAAACGTATAGTTTCATTATATTAGCTCATGTGGTAAAGATAACAAACGTGTGACTCTGAAGTAGATGAAACAGTACCTTTGGGATTTTTCCATTAAGCCTTTGGTCCATAAAAGGCAGATCCTTCACGATCACGATTCGCCATTTCCCAATGTATCCATCCTCGCCAATCTTGTGACCTTCTTCTTCCTGTGCTGCGAGTGTAACTTCATCCCAAAACGCAACGTAGCAAACCTGCTTCCGCAAAGACCCATTCAGGATTGAAATGCAGAGCACACAAAGACTTGCTCAAGAGCAAAATCAGAAATGACCAACCTTTTGAGTTGATGCCTTAGACATTCCAATAGGTTCGTAAAGGTTATCGCCACCACCAAAGGCACAAGTCGATACAACTACTTGACAAGTTTGCATAAACTTGTTATCCTCATCCGAAATCCTAAACCCACCATTCTCATTGAAAAACCCACAATGCACTGAAACTGTTTCACTCACCTGATGCAACCGTAAACAGAAAAAGAAAAAAACAATACTCAGCAATCAAGAACTTGGAGAAACCCATTATAGGAAGCATCAAGTTGTTTAGCCTTGTAGAAGTTACCAAGTCATGACCTGAAAACTATTCTCTCTCTCAGCAAAAGTCTGGTTTCCGGTGAATAAATTAAACCGCGTCCCGTTACCACGAACAGCTTTCTTCTCCCCCATAGAAGTATCTGTATCCGTTAGATACACAAGTTTCTTAACAGGTGAGCTTGAATCTTTACGCTCTAATATATCAAGATTCTCAAGCTCCTCAGGAGGCAGAAGCTTCAAACAACCTATCACAATCCATCAACACAGTTTCAACTAATCAACAAGCAGAGTCAATCAATGTTAAGTTGAAAAAGGGAGTGATGATGAGCTTACGTTGCCTAACACCACCAATGACCTTTGTTGTGGGATCCAATCGATTCAGATTTCCTTCGTTTTTCTTGCTTGGGCTCTCTTTTCGGCTCGATTCTGGATTTTTCAGTTCCGAATTCGCAGGTTTCGTCCCGATCCTCGTTGATTCGAAGACGAGCAATCCGACGGCGAGAAGAAAGACCAGGACGATCCAGTACCTAAGGAAAAGCCTAAGAATGTACCGTGGAAGCTCGAAGCTGGTCCGGTGACCCGGTTTCTTCCGCTTTCTACGGGTTCGGGTGCGGATCCGATTCAAATCGTTAGACTCGTCGTCCGATACTGAGATCGATACGCTGTTGCTGGTGCTGAACATTGTGATTTTGCCTTTTTAAGGATCTTCTAGCTCGGAAAGAAATGATTCTGTTTGTACGATAATCGTAACAGCGCTGACGGACGACGGCGGCGGCGGAGGTGATGCCCGACCGACAATGAATACGGCGTAGAAGAGAAGTGCCGATTTTGTTTTACAATTGGGGAAAGGGATGATGATACGTTTCAAATCATTTCATTTGAAACGACGTCATTTGAGATTATAAAAAGCCGGTATACAGAAATTTCGAAAAACAAAGTATTTTGTTGGACCGGGTCGGTTTAGTAAGCTTATCACACACACATAACAAATTAAAAACAGCATTTGTCACCAGACTCACCACCACCACCAAAGCAAGTCCTTAAAAAGCATTATTGAAAAACGAAGCTACACAATGTCATCTATACATTACATTTTTGCTTATATATTTAGGAAATGTATATTACGAAACCCCCAAATATCTCGAGACCCTTCTCTTAGCCATAATGATTCATTTAGAGGGGCAAAGCTAAAGAAGAGAGAAGAAACACAACACCGTGACATTTCCCATCAAGCAACAGGGAGAGAATCTTCCTGCTCCTCCAAGGAAGTAGTAGTAGGAGTTCCACTTCCACCATTAAGCACAGTGACTTTACCTTCAGAGTCAACGTCAACAATCACCGAGTCTCCTTCTTTGATCTCTCTCGCGAGCATCTTCTCCGCCATACTGTCTTCCAAAAGCCTCATGATGGCTCTTCTCAACGGTCTAGCTCCATAGCTCGGGTTATAGCCTTCGTCGACCACTCTCTCTCTGAACCTCTCAGTCACTTGAAGCTCAATCTCTTTCTTCTTCAGCCTCTCAAACACTTCCTGCAACAGAATGTCTGCGATGTCTTTCACTTCCAGCTTCGTCAGCTGCCTGAACACGATCATCTCGTCAAGCCTGTTGAGGAACTCAGGTCTGAAGTACTGTTTCAACTCCTCCGTCACAAGGCTCTTGATTCTGTTGTAGCTGCTGTCTTTCTCGTCGTAGTCCAAGTCGAAACCGATGCGTCTTCCTCCTTTCTCGATCACGCTGCTTCCGACGTTCGACGTCATGATGAGAAGCGTGTTCTTGAAGTCCACTGTTCTTCCTTTGCTGTCTGTTAGTCTTCCGTCTTCCAGGATCTGAAGCATCATGTTGAAAACATCCGGGTGGGCTTTTTCGATCTCGTCGAACAGAACCACCGTGTAAGGACGGCGTCTAACCGCTTCCGTAAGCTGACCTCCTTCAGTGTACCCGACGTATCCAGGCGGTGAACCGATGAGTTTCGAGACGGTGTGCCTCTCCATGAACTCACTCATATCTAGACGGATCATGGCTTCCTCAGATCCGAAGTAGTAAGCTGCCAAAGCTTTGGCGAGCTCGGATTTACCTACACCGGTTGGGCCAGAGAAGATGAAACTTGCGATGGGACGGTTAGGGTTCTTGAGTCCAACACGTGCACGTCGGATGGCTCTGCTTATGGCCTTGACGGCTTCGTCTTGGCCTATGACACGTTTGTGGAGTGTTTCTTCCATCTTGAGGAGGCGATCAGACTCATCGGTTGAGACTTTCTCTACGGGGATACCAGTCCATGAAGACACAATGTGTTGGATGTCTGACTCCGTCACCATAGGACCTTCCTCTTTAGACTCACTCTCTGCTTTGCTCATCTCCTTGCCTTTCGCTTGGATAGCAGATATCTCAGCTCTGAGTTCAATTTCTCTATCCCGAAGTGTCCCAGCCTGTGAAATGAAATTTACATCTCATGAGATGTAAAACAATCCAGAAAGGAACAAATATAAACAGTATGTTATGTACCTTCTCAAAGTCCTGGCCACGGACAGCTTCATTTTTCTCCTTGGTTATCTGCCTAAGCTCCTTCTCAAGCTCCCTAGCTTCCTCTGGGACCTGCTTATAACGGAGGAAGTTAGTGAATGATCAATAATGAAGAATGATAACTAACAGACACATTGCATGTGATTTTACCACACCTGTGCATGACGAAGGCGAACACGAGAACCAGCTTCATCGATCAAGTCGATTGCCTTGTCGGGAAGGAAACGATCACTGGAAATAAAGGGCAATACGAAAGATTAACGACGCACTTAATTAACGGAAAAGTATTAGCAAGTGATCTGAGAGATGAGCCACCTTATATACTGGTATGACAACTGTGCAGCTGCTACTAAAGAATCGTCAGTGTAACGAAGCTTGTGGTGAATTTCATATCGTTCTCGCAGACCTTTCAAGATCTGAATAGTTTCATCCACGGTAGGTTCAGGTACTTTCACTGGCTGGAATCTTCTTTCCAAAGCAGGGTCTTTCTCAATATGCTTTCGGTATTCGTCTAATGTTGTAGCCCCAATGCACTGTCGTTGATACAAAAAAACAATAGTTAAGCCATCGCCGATACTCAAAAGGGGCAGAGCATTGTCATATTAAACGGATCACACAGAATAGTTACCTGCAATTCACCTCTAGCGAGAGCTGGCTTTAGAATGTTGGCTGCATCAATTGCACCTTCCGCTGCTCCAGCTCCAATCAAAGTGTGCACTTCATCAATAAACAAGATAATCTCGTCGCTCTGTCTTATTTCCTCCATAAGCTTTTTCAATCTCTCTTCAAACTCTCCACGATATTTCGTTCCAGCAACAAGAAGACCCATGTCAAGTGTTATAACCTGAAGTTACACAAAAAAAAGAGAAAACACAAGAACCATCAGATCACTCTCTACATAATTATAGGAATATTAGTTGTGACTGAAGTCTAAACTGCAGAGTACATTATTCGTATTATTATTAACATATCCATAAACAAGTGCCACAGAGTTACTCTGCACAAACTAGAGTACACATAGAGCATACGTATTAGTAATATTACTCACTGCATGGTCAATAAAGAACTTACGCAGTATCATCATGTTTTTGCAACCTTTTGGCATGGAAAGAATCAATAACTAACCCAATAAACTGGAAACAGGTAGAAATGAAATCTGCTCCTACATGTTATTAGCCAGTATGCAGTGCATGACAGATCTGAAGTCAACGAGATAAGACTGGAACCCATACTCATTTACAACCATCGGCTACTTAAATTGCAAACTTTTCAACAAGACAGAGAAACAGACTAGTACATAATGATTTACCTTTTTACCCTCAATGGTTTCAGGAACATCTCCACTGGCAATACGCTGCGCTAATCCTTCAGCAATAGCTGTCTTACCAACACCAGGCTCACCAATAAGACACGGGTTGTTCTTGGTTCTCCTGCCAAGAATTTGCACCACACGTTCTATTTGTGGCTGCCTTCCAACAACTGGGTCCAATTTCCCCTAAAGATAAAAAAGAAGCGAATTATAATATAGTCTCAGTTATTCTTATCTCTGTAAGCAGATCTCATACGGTTAGGTCATCAAATAACTACCTCCTCAGCGAGTTTTGTCAAGTTTGTCCCGTACTCTTCAAGAGTTGGCATCTTATTGCTGCTGGTTCCTCCCCCAACATTAGCAGTGACCTCATTGTTCTCACCCACCATGCGTATCACCTAGCCATCCAATTCAATTAAGTTTTTGATGTGTTTCGGAATAGAAACTGCAATAATATATCATGAAAAACTCAACTTTTCAATTTTACCACATAAGATGACTACTTTACCTGAGTGCGAATATTACTAGGATCTGCACCTAAATTCTCAAGGACTCGAGCTGCGACACCTTCACCTTCACGTAGTAACCCAAGAAGAAGGTGCTCGGATCCAATGTAATTGTGACCTGATATTCACACAAGAAGTTATTAACACAACACAAGGATATATCTACACAGCATAACCAAATAGCTAACAGCAGGAGCAACCAAATATTTTGATAGTCATATTCATGTCAAAGCATTGGATTTGGCTGGACAAAAACAAGTTAAGAAAAATATTTTATGCCAAACATTAGGCTAAGCCGGATCAACAAAACTTATTGATACACACTCAACCAAGTGGATAATACACTTCATAGTTCAAAATCAACATAGAGATTCAAGATACCGAGGCAAAAGATGAAAGCAAATGACTTTCTACAGAGAAGGAAACTTACCAAGTTGACGAGCTTCTTCTAGTGAGAGTTCAAGGACACGCTTTGCGCGAGGAGTGAAAGGGATCTCAACAGCAACAAATCCACTGCCCCTTCCGATAATCTTCTCTACCTCCACACGTGCATCCTTCAAGTTAATCCCCATGGACTTCAACACTTTAGCAGCAATCCCAGTACCTTCACCAATGAGACCAAGAAGGATCTGTTCCGTTCCCACGAAATTGTGGCCTAGTCTTCTGGCTTCCTCCTGTGCAAGCATGATAACTTTGATAGCCTTCTCAGTAAACCTTTCAAACATTGCTTTCGTCACACCCCGGCTTGCTCTCCCCTTTGGCTGCACACTCATTGCTAGCCGAACCTTGGAATGGAAATCTTGACGGTTTCTTCCTAGCGTGTCTACAACATTGTTCCCACGTAATCCAAGAAACCCTTGCATTCTTAAACCAGACACTTGTAGCTGACTACACATCATTTTCGCCGATCTTCTCGTTTTACCAGAGCCACGAGACGGGACGTTCCTCTGGTAACAGGCTAAAGACGGTGGAGTAGATTGAGCCAGCACCCTTGTGGCCATTGCCATGACTTCCTGAGAAAGAAAAATTTCCAACAATAGAAACAGGATAACGTTAGTAAACAAACCTGAAGAAACACTTATACGCATAAATCAAAACTTTAAACAAATTGAAAATCTAACAAGGCGAGGTTGGATTCGAGCAACTATAGTCATTTACATGTTCAGAAGAATGAAAAACAGTAAGAGAAGTTTAGATTGAGTAAAGTCCCAGCTCAGAAAGTTGAATTTCTACTTCTCGGATCAATAGAAGCTACAAAATCAGCTTTAACAAATGAAGATGAGAGAACGCGAAGCTCATAAATGGAATTGACTTTGAAAATAACAAAAAAAACTAAGTGAACATCGACGAAATTCACGATCTGATACCTCATAAATCGCACAAAATATAACACACAAACAAGTGGACTTTAAACCCTAGCTTTTAACAAATACGGAGCTATAAAACTCAAGAACAGACATCACCGACGAACAATAATCCCTCTGAAATTATAAAAGTAGCAGGATTAAGTAAAATCCCCTCACCGGAATCGATTTTAGCGTAGCACAGGATCAAAAGTAGAAAGGAAGATGACGATGAAGATGAAGAAGAAGAAGAGAGAGAAATGAAAAAAACAGATGGATAATGGTGTGGTTTATTTTTCACCTTCCCTTATCTCTCTCTCTCCGGTTCGATGATGATTCTTCTTCTTTTTGTTTCTACGGTGCGCGTCCACAACACCTGTTCGGTACAACAGCGTGCACGCTAACAATACTTCTGAAGCTCAAATGAAGAAAATATCACGAAACTTAACCGACATACTTACCGATTCGGTTTAAGTTATCAAACGGCCGGTTTGTAACCGACCGACTCACTAATTGGTCAATCAACTATAGAATCTAATGAAATTCATGTATATAATTGTTTATTGATAGGCTAAAATGCATGATTTATTTGTATGAAATCTTAAAAAATTATGTGTAATTATCCGGTACAAAACTCAGCCAAGATTTGAATACCAAAGAGAAGTCCACCAAAAGGAACTTTACCACTCCATAAGAAATCACCAGACTCACCACCGTCCGATAGATATAAAGTGTCTAGGATCGTGACACGTGGTAGTGAATAACTTGTGAGCGGCTTAATGACCATTCTACCCTGCACATATTAGTCTCTGGTTTGGTTTACAGATCCATCTGGACAAAGGACTCAACGGTCAATACGTTGATGTAAGAGCTTCCGTGTACGAGACCAATTTCTCGATTTTTTTTTGTTTCTTTAGCTTTGATTACTTTTTCTTGTTCTAATATTTTAGAATTTAGACGTTGCGTCGTTGCCTCTTATGCATGTTCGACCTCTTGTTTTCTTAGAAGTCCAAAGCGTGACATGGATAATGTCCAACCTCTTATTTTCATATATGGAAATATCTTCTGTATATGTATTTTTTTATTTTGAACAAAGCTTTAATCTTCTGTATATGTTGTTGTATAGAGAAGAAAAGACAAACACTTAAATCGTAATGAAAATAAAAATAGAAATATTTTGCTGTACTAAAATATGTACTTTCAATATTGAAAGAAATTTCTATTAAATTTACTCAGCCACCACCTTCTTTTTTGTGTGTTAAAAGTTAAAACCATGATATTTAACAAAGATAATTTTTTATTCTCCCTACAAAGATAAATATATCGCACGACGCCACATCAACGACGAGGCTTAACCAAAATTATATATTGCATAAACGACAATTCCTTTTTTTTTTCTCTTCTCCCGACTTGTTCCTATGTATCCCTCTTCTTCTGAATTCTCTGTTTCCTTCTTCCACGCATTAAATCACTGGTTCCTCATACATATTTCACTTCATCTTTTCTCTATCTTCGTTCTTCTTCTCTCAATCCTCTTCTAAGAACGACGCTTTCAAAGAACCTAATCTTGATCGAGACTTCCTGGCAATGAGTAAAGGATTTCGCTGTGGGGTAAGGCCCATGATCACGTTGTTTAATTTCTAACGTATGTTTGTTTGTTTTGATTTCTAAAAGCAAGAGTCTAAACAATGTGGTAGGATCAACGATGGATTTCATAGTTGAAGGATTGGTTACAATCAAGAATATGCCACAAGACATCTATGTGGTTTGCCCGTACATATATGTTCTACTATGGTTGTTTTTTTATTGATCATACCGTCGTTTAATTACTCTTTTACATATATACCACTACATTCCAGAAACTGGATATACAAGAACCGCTCATGGATGAAATCATTCGCAATCAATAAAAAAAAAAAAACTCATTGTTTTCTCTTTGATTCCACCTGACATCAAACCACAAATTATGGAGACATCACCTGTAAACAGGGACCGCATAGAAGAACTAGAGAGTAGCCCTCAGCTGAGACATGCACAAAAAGACTATGTTTCGTACTTATTTCCATTGTTGCTAACCAAAAGTTTCATAACTGTAATTTATCACTTTCTTTAGCATTTACCTCAATCCCAAACTAAAGAGTAGTTCATTTAGTAAGTCTACTCTAGGGGTCTGCCTCCGATTCTCTATTTCCCAGTATAGGTGAGACTTCGAAATTCATTTTTTTTTCTTAATGAATTTGCAGTTAACAACCATGTATGATTATGTTGAAAATTGAAATGATGGTTCAATTTGATTTGCGGGGTTCTGTTTAAGCAAGCTAAAACCATCAAATGACATTTCTCTTACAGATTCGATACTTGAATATTTCAATTCCACGCATAACATAAGACAAAACTATTTAGTTATTAGTTTTTTTTTTAAATAACTTTATCTAGAAGAATACTGAGCTTAACTTTTTTAGTTTAACAACTATAAATTTGTGTTTGACACTTTTTGTAGGTTAATAAGAGGTGAAGTGATTTTAGTAGAAAATTAAAAATTAATAGCCCTTCACTTATAGTGTTATATATAGGCATTAATATTATTTTTAGTTTAAGAGCTAAATATACATTTGACACTTTTGGTAGGTTTAGTAGATTTATTATTTATAAGAGGTGAAGTGGCATGACCAGCAATTAACTAATAGGTTGATTCACATTAATATAGATATATACCCCCAATAATTTTAGTCTAACAATTAAAATTTTGTATTTGGTACTTTTGATAAAGTGAACATGATTTGCTATATATATTTATTAGTCGTTTACTCAGTAAACAAATTAATATATATAACAATAAATTATCAATGGAGAAATGTAAGTAAATTTTCTTAATAAAACAATGACTTTACATCTAACATTTGTTCTTTCTTCTTATATGTTTTAAGTGATAATGACTGATGGGAACATTAATGAGATTTTATAACCTCTACTTTATTTTTTCCATTTTTTTTTCTTTTTTAAAGCAAAACTTAAGCAATATTAATGCGATATTTGATAATATATGTAGCATTAATTTAGCAAAAAAAATTCAAAAATGTTAGGAGTTAATATAATTTATCCATTCTAATTGTTTCCTTTAATATGAAGATAGTCATTTGTTCTTCACAATACAACCTCCCATGATCTAGTCTCTTTTCTTCAAAACTACACATTAGTCTTGTTCATCTCTCGGTCTCACAATCAAAAGTAATTTGTGTACACTCTTGATAATTTCTTACCCAATTCTCTTATTCTCTTTCCCTCTCTTTCCCTATGTTATATTTGTTCTCCCATATAGCCAAATGGAGCCTAGCAATGGTGATACAGTATTTCCGGATCAGAACAAACCCATATGGATGATTGGTTATGTCATGTTTTCTCTAGGGTCAGGGATAGGTTTACGTGCTTTGATTTGGTAATTATCAAAAAGAAAGTGTATGATTGGTTTATGTGAAAATGTAAACTCGTTTATGTCATTTCAACAAGAAAGTGTTGTTATTATTCTTGCTACTGTGATATCCAACCGTTTTTGGTTTATTTCTTAACCTTGTTTGTGTTGATTGTCTGAAAAAGGTGGAAGCTTCACTCAATGAGTGGAAGGAGCTATTGTCCGTCACCACCAAGGGGTTATGGATGGAGGGGTCTCTGCCATGATTTCAGGTACTCAGTTAACTTTTCTGTAAATCCTTTTACGAATTTGATTGTATGTCAACTACGTTTGGATTTTACGTTTGGTTTTTATGCACCATTTACAGTTCTCTTTTCTCCTTAACTATTAGATTTTACATATTAGGATTATCCTTTTTATCCTATTACTGAGAAGACAAGAGAATTACATGATGTCTCTGTCTAATACTTTGTTTTATCACAAATTGCTGATTCATTTGATAAAAATATGCATAGGATGCTCTAAAGTTTTCACATTCTGATACATCTTCTCTTCTTGATTTATTTCATAGCAAAGAAGACGACGGTGATGATGCGGCAGTCTACATTTGTCTTCCATCATGCTTCTCATCCTTGGAGCAACAATCGTTTCTAATCTGGATGGTAACTCTCCATGCTTTTTAGTTTCTACCTTACTTTTCAATACTTTCATGTCTCCACAATTACTTGTTTCTCAAGAAGCTTGAAAATATATGTTTGCTATTGCAGCTCTGTTTCCTGAGACAGTTTAGAGGCTCCATACGGAAGTCTGACTACTTTGCGCTTCAATGAGTTCCATGACATTGTTGGAATTAGGTATGCATTTCCTTGAATTGAGAATTTATTTAAGACTCTTTGATTCAACTATGATAGTGAACTGATGATTCTTTTCTTGATGAATTTACAGCTGGCCGCTTTGGGTTTACGCTATAGTTTGCATCTGCATAAATGTTCATGGTAACTTAACGGTTTTATAAATACAAAGTGAACTCCATTTCTATTTCCACATCTAAGCTTGGTCTTTACTTGATTTAGGTCTGAATATGTACTTTTGGATATCATTCATCCCTGCCATTGTAAATAATAAATGTTGAAAAAAAAAATTTCATTTATTTGGAACCATATAAAAGGTTCTACTAATGGAGAAAGAAAAAATTAACAACCCACATCAAAGTTTTTTAACATAGATTTGTGTGCAATGTATTAATAAAAAATGTTTTAGAACCAAAATTTTGGTTTCAGCAATGGAGATGCTCTAAATTTCGTTTCCCTCGTTTTATATTTTCCTTTCCCTCGTAAATTTCTCCCCCCTTTATTATCGGGCAGCCAAACACAGGCGAAAACCTAGCGCTTTGCACTTTCGCCATGGACGTAGGAGGAGAAGACGAAAGCGATCTCCAGGTAGATGACCTTGTGGTTGAAGACGATTCCATGGACGATCTCATCAGAGACCGATTCAGACTCACCGCGATCTCAATTGCCGAAGCCGAGGGTTAGACTCTCTCTCTCTCTCGCTCTCCCCGCTCCCATTCCAATCGATTCTCGAAATTTCTGGCTGAGATTTCAATTTGATATCACCATTTCGGCTTCCGACTATTTCCTTCGCTCGATAATCCATTTGGCTTCCGAATAGTTTCCTAGAATGTTTTAATCGAATTAGAATTTCGGGATTTTCACATTCCCTTGTGGAATTGATCATTGATGAATCAACTTTATAAACGAATCTGTTCGAAGTTTATTGCTACATATTTGAATTTTAGATTCTTCCTGATCGATAGAGGAGTGTTCAAATTTTTGATTGATTTGGATTTTGTTCTGAGCAGCGAAGAAAAATGGAATGGAGATAGCAGGATCTGTCGTCTCTTGTTTGGCAGATTTAGCCTTCAAATATGCAGGTGATGATAAAAAAATTTCAATCCATTGGACCAAAATTATTCGTTTCGAATTTTAATATAGCTTCAGGGGACTACAAATTGCTCATTGCTTTGGAAGTAATCTTTGTGAATTGTGTTCGGATTCTATCAGTGGTGAAGATTGGTTTCTCTTCTTAGGCATCAATGTGTTATTGAGCATGGTGGGTGACTGGGTGGTCATGTAGAGTAGGATGATTTTATGTTCAAACTGTTGCAGAAGCATAGATTCTTAAGCCAAAAACTAAGCTTTTCCCAGAATAGCTATGTGTTAAAAGTTTTGCTTCTTTGTTATGAGTAACAGAAAACGTAGCAAAGGACCTTGAACTCTTTGCTCATCACGCTGGACGCAAAGTTGTGAACATGGACGATGTTGTTCTCACCGGTAACTTTTTTTGTCTCTCTGTCGATTTCTCATTGCATCTTTAGCGTTTGTCAGTTCTGATTTCTGAACTTGATATACGTCTTGCAGCACACAGAAACGATAACTTAGCAGCGTCTTTGAGGTTAATGTGCAATGAGCTAAAGGCAAAAGTGCCACATTCTGAGAGGAAACGGAAGAAAGGATCAACCAGAAAAGAAGACAAAGCCAGTAGTAGCAATCCTGTTCGCATCACCGATCTTTAACTCTCCTGAAAATATGCAAATACATTAGTTCTTATATAATGTATGTAGATACAAAGCTTGTCGAAGAAGCTGTTTAATGACTTGGAAGTTTTTTGCAATCAACTCTCTTAAATATATCCTAATCAGAAACTTTTAATATCGGAGCCTGCGTATATACAGAGAATAACTGTAGATTTGCATAATCTCTTACTGGTTTGTTTTTCATTTTTCTTCAATACGCTACTGCGGTAGTATAATAATGTAAAAGCTCGGTTTTGTCTGAGAATTCGGCTTGATAACAATGGCACCTTCGGATTCTTCCCCGACGAAGCCGGAGATTGTTTTAGGTATTTTCTGATCCGTTTTTGCTTGTTGCATGACACACTAACTTAGGGGTTAATGTATCAAAGACATTATGATTGTATTTGTGTTGTAGGTAACGAAAAATCTCAGAACGAGATTGTTGATGCTGTAGGGATTCAAAAACAATTTGAGAATGATAAGGTATTTTCTGTTTTATCATAGCTCTAAAACACTTTTAAAATCCTTTACAGATTACAGAGTTGTGACTGAATTCGAATCGTTTTGCAGAATGCAAAGCCATCATCATCACACAATGCAGGCAGTTTCTACATGCCTGGAATGAATACACTTTGCTGCGGTCCTGAAGATTACGAATACTATCTACGGGAAATGTGCGGTCCTGAATATTACGAATACTATCTACGGGAAAAGGGACGCGAGAGTCCTCCTTCTGAAGAATGTTATGAGGACATGTATGCGGAGGTAGCTATGGAAAGGCCCTGTGATCACCATGTCAACAACAATGGTGTTTCTCTAGTGGAGGTTTGTGATGAAAACAGCCATGTCGATGGTGGAGATAACAACGGGGTGGCTGAGTCCACTCGCGTAATCTATGTCCCATATCTAAAGGTGACTTACTTGATTTTTTGGTTCTGTTTTGAATGAAATTTTGTGTCAGACATTTTGTTTATTTTGAGATAATTACTTCTGTAGGTAGGTTTAGTGATTGGTGCTGTGGCGACTTTACGGTATCTTCAGCCTCATTTTGGTGACCGAATCCGTATTTTGAAGGATTCAGAGGCTAATACGCAAAGAGCAGTGGAGATAACTGGAAGTATTGCACAGATAGATTTTGCTGAGCAGCTTATCGACGCAGTTATAGCAGAGGTTGTCATTAGCTTCGATTATTTATTTTTCTTGACTATCAACTGTTGTGTCTCTGAATTGGTTACTATAAGTTCAGGAGAATCAAGAGGAACCCATGGAAGAAGAAACTGAGAAACCATTAGCTCGGAAAGATGGTGAAGCTCTTGTTGAGGAAGTTCATGCTGAACAGTCCTAAGTGTGATGCAGTAACCTCTATAATAAGGACATGAATGTGTTCCTGTGTTGAAATGTTTTTTGAATATTTTTATTTGGAAGTTTGATCAGGTTTATTAGTCTAACTTTACAGCTTTATGTCTCTTACAACTTTAATGGTTGAGGAGTAGATTAATGATGATGCTAATCATGCAATCATGTCACAAATGATGGTCAATTTCACCAAATTTTGTACCCTGCTATCAATTGCATCCTAACTTCAACCAAACAAACTTTTTCCTTTTCGTCCAATTTAAAAACTCATTTTAGTTACTTCTTCTCCGAACATGGCCATGGGGCGGTGAGCCCAACTAACGATCCTTGCTTCGAAAAACTCGTTGTTAGGGCCTGACTAGTTTAACTGTTGCTACTGATGCGGATGTAAATGATTAGTAGCGTTATTAAGCGGTTTGTACGACTGACATAAAGATTAAAAATGGATGTGTTTGCGGAATACTTATGACTAGTTGACTTGCGAATACAATAGTGGTTAAACAATAAATTAACAATATACACACATTATATAATTATAAAAAACATAAAAAGTTAAAAACTATATTATAATAAAAAAAAATTTATGGTTCAACATAATTAAAAATAAAAAAAATTTATAAAAAATATTGTGTGTTTAATACTTACATCTATCTTTTAATTTCTATAATTTATATAAAAATGTGTTTATTTTCAAAAAATATATATTTAATGTGAAAATTAAATTTAGAATACAGTTTTATTTATTATATATATATATATATATGTATTAGTATGAAAAGAACATTTATCAAGAGAATTTTGATTTGTAGAACTTATAAATATAAAATTATGATATGATTTTAATGAATATTGACTAAAAGTACTAACTTTTTTTATTTATATTGTGATTTTACTATCAATATATCATTTTTAATAAAGATTATTATTTATTTTTTGATTTTAAATAATTTTGTGTTTTTTCAAATTTTTATTTTTTAATTATCTACCTGCAACCGTCCGAAACCGCAAACGCTGCTCGGAAGAAGCTTTTGATTATGAGAGATCTGGAGCGGTTCTGAACGTTTTGAAGCGGTAGAAAGCGTTTTCCATTATTGTTGTCAAACGCTAATAATCACTACTACCTGCAAAAGTTGCGTTTACGGGTGGTAGTGGGTGAACCAATCAATCCCTTACTTGTTAGCGATTTACTTATTTGTTATACTATATATTTCTCCTAGGACATAGAAATTTCAAAAATATTATTATCTTACAATTTAACTATTTTATCAAAGAAAATTAAGATAACAATTACCTACTTTACACCCGCCCAAAAATAAATTTCATTGAACTTCAACAAACTCCTCTACTGAATTCATCAAAACTCACATTGTATCTCTGGCGGCCACTACACAACCTTTTCAGCATATTTTAGCGACAACGAGCAAAACTCAAACATCAACCATAAAACCATCTCCGACCACCTTACATGAAAGAATACTCTACCCAGAAGTTTATCTCTCCTCTTTTAATGTTTTGTTCTATTCACTAACCCTTTATTTTTGTTTATTTGCAGGAAAAGAAAGTTGCAAAAAAAACTTTGTGATATGAAGGATTGCTAGTATTCGGATTGTTGTTTCTTTACAACTCACTAGAATATCTAATTTCTTACTTTTTCACCGATCCATGGAAAAAAGAACAAATGGAAAAGTGGTAGAAGGTGAAAGAAGGAAAAACGCAAATGAGATAGAAAAGAGGAAGTATTGTGAAACTAGCTCCAATTAAATGATGGTTTTATACGGAATCAATGTATATTAGACAATGCCCGCGCATACACGCAGGTTTTCTTATTGTTATAGTTTAAGAAAAATATTACTCAATAATCCAAATAACACTCGTATTTTAATTCTTATTTGTTTGGAGTATAAAACAATTATAGATTTGTGATTAATCTTTTAACCAAATAACACTCATATTTTAATTCTTATTTGCTTCGTTAGACTTTCAAATATATAGTTTTGCATAATACCACATGTTTTTATACCCTTGACACTTCTTTATTTATTCACCGCTACGTGGAACACACTCTGCTTCTCTGCCATTGCATTTTTTCTGAATCCAATTCTCTGTATATTAAGAGAACTTAAATGTTTAATAGTGATTCAAGATTTGACGAAGATAATAATTTTAAAGTGATATAATAGTTTTATTTATTTTATAATGTTACAATGGGAAAAAAAACTAAAAGTTGCATTGAAGTTCCATTAAACTTTTGGATATTTTTTTTTAAAGTGAAAATTATATGAAAATGTATTTTGTAAGTTACAATAAGCACAAAAGAAGACCAAAAGTTGCATTAATGTTATATTAAACTTTTGGATTTTTTTTTTAAGTGAAAATTATATACATGTGTCATTTTCTCCTGTGTCCATGTGTCAACAATATGGAGAGAATTGACCTCTTTTCATATATATGATTCAGTTTTATTGAATGCAATGCAAGCATTGACTATTTAATCAACATAAAAATTATTATTTAGTAAATTAATATTTTTATTGTGAGCAATTCAATGAGTAAGAGAAAACAAAGTGCATACTTTGTGTTTGTAAAATAATAACCAAACCGAAAACCATCAATTACCTAAAAGTAAAATGAAACAAAACCAATCATTATATAACAGTATGAAAGCATATGGTTTTGATTTTTTTTTTCTTTTTTAAAAAGAGTATAAAGACGTAATGTAGAGAAATAGTTATTTGTATTAAGATTTGGATGACTGAAAAGATGTTGTTGAGACAAAAAGAAAAAACCAACAATATTTTTATTTTTTACATTTAAAAATACTACATACTATTTACAAAGCAGAAACAAAACAATTCAACTTGTAATAATATAGGCTATGGTAATGAATTAATAACTCATATATGAAAATTATGATGATAATTAACTATATTACACCTTCCAAACTATTTTACACCCATCCATTGATTATCTACTATCGCGAAAGTCAACAATGAACTTCAACAAACTCCTCCATTGAATTCATAAAAACTCATCATATAATCTCCGACGATCACTACAAAACCTCTTCACCGTATTTTAGCGACAACGAGCAAAACGTCATTCTCAATCATCAACCATAAAACCATCTCCGACCACATTCTATGCTACTCCACCTCATAATTTCTAACAAGGCCCATCATGAAAGAGGTAACGGAAAAATGAGTGAGAAGAAATCTCAATGCCATCGGCTGAATTTAAAATTTAATATAAAACGTTGTATTATCAAATCTGTTTAGGGGCAAAACAAGCACAACAAAACAAAAATCCGATCTAAAGAAGATCGGAAGAGAAATTCCAACCAAGTGGGAAAGAGTTCTGAATTAAAGCGGAATAAACAAAATAAGGTAAACTAATTATAATTTGCTTTTCCTTTTTCTTGTTCATTTCAATTATTAATTAGAATAATGTCCGCACTATACGCGGAATGAAATGATTATGAAGTATACAAGATTAATTAAAAAAATCTGGTTTAATTGTTTAACTGAGAAACTGGAGTTTACTTGTGTATTTTTTTATATATTATTTTGTAAGTAATGTGTTTCATTCATGATATAATTCTACACAATGATTTATAGTTTAAAATTTAGAAAATCAACATAGCAAGAATATATTATATGAAATCCAAAATTTGTTTATATGTATTGAAATTTGAATAAAAAGATATTTTACCTATTAAATTATTTCAAAAACAGTTTTATTTTGTGTTTAATAACAAATCAATTATATACATTATCACATAAAGTTGTAATATTGCCTTTAATTTGATATGTAAACTGTAAATATAGTTATATATTTTATATGTTTACTGATTTAAAAGAAAAATAAAAAATATTTAACTGTAAAATTTAATATTAGATTTCTAAAATAATAACTTTTGGTAAGTTTAGAAAGATATAAATGTGTTTGTTATAGGAATTAGAATATTCAAAATAAGTAATTTAATGGAAATAAATGTATTTGGTAACTGATATAAAACAAATAAATAAATTAATTAATTAATTAAAAATAAAAAATTTGTGAAAAATTGTGAGATTGACATAACAGCAAGATCTCGCGTCCAATGCTCCTCTTTAAATATAGAGGATTCTTGCCTTTTTTTTTTTTTTTTTTTTTTTTTTTGGGTTTATTTACATTAATGTTTCTCCTTTCATTTACACTGTTACCTCCATTTTATAACAATGGAAGCCTCAAATTGCCTTTTCAGGTCATTTGGCTTTGCTCTGAAAATCAGACATCGCGTCGCGGACAAAAGACACGATCGGATCCCATTTTGTCGTCGAGTCGACCAATCCAGTAACAACTTTTCGCTTAAAAAAATCCGAAAATGAGCGAGCTTCACACGACGCCTAAGAAACCCAAATTGCAAAGAGAAGGCGAAGAAGAAGAAGAAGCTAATGTCTCTTGCAGAGAAGAGCAAGAACAAGTCCTCGTCGCATTAGTAAATCACCGCTCAGATGAAATCGAGCGTCTCAAGCATCACATTTCAAACTACCAAACCAAGGTTCTCCTCGAAAGTTTCCATTTTTCGTTTTCGTTTCCATTTCTGGATTTTCAAAGTTTAAAACTTTCCCTTTTGTGATTGATTTGGGTTTTTTCTCAGCTGATTGAGGCAGAAAGAAGTTTGAGAGATTCAAAAGCTAAGTTATCTCACCTTCGTGGTCATGATGATGAAGTTTCATTTCAATCAAATAGTAGTAGTGGAAAGAAAGATAAACCATTAAAGACTCTGAGAAATGTGAGTCATGAAGATGATGAGACTAGAAGAAAGCTTACTCCTTCTAATAGCTCTGATCCTAGAAGTAGTAGTAACTCCAACTCCAAGTCCAAGGTCAAGACTGTTGTTGTGAAGCAAAAACCTGAAACATCTTCTCGTGACAGTCCTAATGTCAAAGCTAGTGTGAAAAGGAAATTCGGTAAACATCATTGGACAATGGACATTCTCTTGTTTAGATGGATATTTTTAGTCACTATTGGTTTATGTGTGTGGTGATTGCAGAGCAAAAGGAACATAAAGAGTTGATTCGGCTGATAGCAAGAAACTCATCACCAACTACAATCAAGTGTCATAGCAGCAATCAAATCTCTAGTCAGCATAAGAGGAAGTTGAGAAGCTTGATTCTTTGTCCTGTAAATGAGCATCTGTTTGCAACAAGGTACATAGACTACAAGACTCGTTAAGCCTGTGTTTGTATTTTGAAATGGAATCTTGAATTTGATATCTGTCTATTTCTTGTTTTCATGTATGGAATTTAAAGTTCTCTGGATGGTATGGTCAGTTTATGGCAACTTCAGCCTGGAAGGTCAGTGTTATCCCCACTATGTTATTCTCTTGTCTCAGTAGATTTTGGATTAGAAAGCACTTCCTCACTTGATCTTGGTTTGTGACTAACATTGAAATTTAGTTCTAGCAATTGCTTGATAAAAAATGATGACTTACTTGTTTTAGGGATAGATATTTTGGGTTTGGGGACTCAGATTTGGATAGAATCATATGATACTCAAATGCATTCTCTTGCTTAAACTTAAACTGAAGGTTTAGTATCTTTTGTATTTGCACCCAAGCTCTTGTTTTGTTTATGGTTGAGTATCTTTTTGTTGTCTATATTGTTAATATACCAAACAGAAGGATAAAACAAATGGTCAGTATACTTAATAGCCAATTTTTTAGTCCATAGCTCAATCTAGACAGGGGTTTGAGAGAAATCCAATTAGGAAGAAACCAACACAAACCTGATTGAGCTGATAGAGATTGTGTCTTTTCATGTAGAGAACCATCTGTTGTGATCTCTTATGTTTTTTTTTGTAATGGCAGATTGGCTGCTTCATTGCTTAGTACCACAGACTGTTTATCTCGAAAACAAAGAAGATGGGCGGAAGATATGGCTTGGCACCCATCCGGGAACACCATTCTCTCTGTATACACTGCGGACGATGGTGATTCTCAGATCTCAATCCTTGATCTCAACAAGACACGCAAGGTACATGTTACTTCACCACATTTTCTGTCTGATATCAAAGACAAAAGACAACAATAATGTTTTTCAAACTAAGTACTTTGTTTTTGTTGTAAAAAGGTTACTTTTTTGGAGAACAAACCTCACGTAAAAGGGATCGTCAACAACGTAAAGTTCATGCCTTGGGAAAACACATGCTTTGTCACTGGAGGAAGTGATCACGCTGTTGTGCTATGGGACGAGAATGATGATGAAGAAAACAAATGGAAGTCGAAAACTTTACACAGGAGTCTACATTCAGCTGCTGTGATGGGAGTGGACGGGATGAGGAACAAGAACGTTGTTTTATCGGTTGGAGCGGATAAGAGAATTATAGGGTTTGATGTTCAAGTTGGTAGAGCAGACTACAAGCATCAGATAGATTATAAATGCATGAGTGTCCTCTCCAATCCTTGTGACTTCAATCTGTTCATGGTCCAATCCGGGTAAGTGTAACAAGAAGCTTACTTTCTTGAATTCAGTATTTTCACTTTAAACAAAATCTTGAACATTGTAAATGTCAGGGAACCGGAGAAACAGCTTCTTCTGTTTGATATCAGATTGAGGAAAACAGAACTCCATTCGTTTGGATGGAAGCAAGACAGTAGTGAATCACAATCAGCTCTGATAAACCAGTCTTGGTCTCCTGATGGTTTATACATCACTTCTGGTTCAGTCGATCCGGTTATCCATGTTTTTGACATCAGGTAACTAGCAACATCAATGGCTCTCTGTTGATTTGGTTTTATGAAAAGGTGAAGCTTTATGTGTTATTGCTTTTGATTGTGGTTTAGGTACAATGCTCGTAAACCAACGCAATCGATAAAAGCTCATCAGAAAAGGGTTTTTAAAGCGGAATGGCATTACTCTCAGCCACTTGTAATCTCCATATCTTCTGATCTCAACATTGGTCTCCACAAGATCTCATGACCACTTTGAGCTCTCTTTCTCATTTCTGAGTATATACATATATAGCAAAGTTGGAGAATTGTTTATTTACCAGTCATCAACATTTTAAATCGATTACAGCCAATTCTTGGTTATAGGCATAAACATCAGTACATGTGGATTGAGTTAAAAATTGTCGTTATCTCCCTCTTAAATCTCAGAGCTTTATTATGAAAGATGGGTTTTTTCAAACAGTATTGCTCTATTCTTCTGCCATGAATTGTCTCTATCGCCTTTAGTAATCGTGCTTTCTGAGAAAATTCTTAAGCTTTGGGCCAAAAATTAAGAGAAGAAAATCTCAAATCTATGTCATTTTCGGTCCTCAATTAGAGCCTCGCGAAAAGGGTTTAGGAGAAATGCAGAGAATCTCATTTTGCGTCACCGGAATCCGAAGATTCTCCGTCACCTCTCTGTCGTCATCTTCCGCTTCATACACCGGTAAAAATTTCATCTTTTTACTCGGATCAGGCATTTCCGAGGATTCCAATGTCTGATGTGTCTCTTAGGGTTTCTCTTTCCTGTTCTGGGTTTATCAAAACCCCATTTTTCTGAGCATTTGTCTTCATACCAAGCGATTATTTGATTGATTCTTGCTCAAAGTCTCTCTCTTTCTGCATATGTTGATTCACATATCTGGTTACTTACGAACGATTTGGTGATTTTCGACTTGTCACTGCAAAATTGTTCTGCAATCTCTATAAAGTTTCAGGCTTTTCATATTGTTGTTCAAAGTTTCTATCTTTCTGTTTTTGTCTTGTAGATAATCGGATATTGAAACAAGTTCTTGAATCATGCAAATCTCCATCAAATTCCAAACATGTTCTTCAAGCACATGCTCACATCTTCAAACTCGGATACTCAACATACCCATCTCTTCTCGCCTCCATGGTTACAGCTTACAGACGCTGCAACCTCTCACACATTGCTCGTCGTCTTCTCCTCTGGTTCCTCTCTTTATCTCCAAACGTCTCTACCACAAACCTAATCATCGAGAGCCTAATGAGATCAGGAGAGTACGGTTTGGCCAAGAAGGTTCTTCGCAGTAAAGCGAGTGATCTTAACGTGGTCACTTGGAACTTGATGATTGGTGGTTACGTCAGGAATGTTCAGTACCAAGAAGCATTGAGAACTCTTAGAGATATGCTTAAGTTTTCGGATGTTAAACCGAATAAGTTCAGTTTCGCTTCCGCTTTATCAGCTTGTGCTCGTCTCGGAGATCTCCGCAGTGCCAAATGGGTGCATTCTCTGATGATCGACGCCGAGACTGAGCTTAATCCGATACTGTGCACTGCGCTCGTCGACGTGTATGCGAAATGCGGAGACATAGAAACGTCCAAGGAGGTTTTCTACAGCGTTGAAAGGAGCCATGTTTCGGTTTGGAACGCTATGATCACTGGCTTTGCTGCTCACGGACTAGCCAAAGAAGCGATGAGAGTGTTTTCAGAGATGGAGGCAGAGCGTGTCTCGCCGGATTCCATAACGTTTCTCGGCGTTTTAACGGCGTGTTGCCATTGCGGTTTGGTTGAAGAAGGGAGAGAGTTGTTTGATGTAATGTCTCGGAGGTTTTCGTTGCAGCCAAAGTTAGAGCACTATGGAGCTATGGTTGATCTTCTTGGCAGAGCAGGGAAGGTTCAAGAAGCTCACGAGCTGATAGAGACGATGAGTGTTGAGCCGGATTTAGTTATATGGAGGTCTCTTCTTAGCTCATCAAGAACTTACAAGAACCACGAGGTGGCGGAAACAGCGATGAAGAGTCTTTTGGATTCGAAGGCCAAGAGTGGAGACTATGTGTTGCTTTCGAACATGTACAGCTCAACGAAGAAATGGGATAATGCAGAGAAGGTGAGAGAGTTGATGAAGAGAGAAGGAATCAGGAAGGGGAAAGGGAAGAGTTGGGTGGAGTTTGGAGGAGTGATACATAGGTTTAAAGCAGGAGATAGGTCTCATGTAGAGAGTGAGGCTATATACAAAGTGTTGGAAGAGTTGATGAAGAAGGCAAAGTGTCAAGGGTTTGTGGCGGAGACGGATTTGGTGTTGATGGATGTATGTGAAGAGGAGAAAGAAGAGAACTTGAGTTACCATAGCGAGAAGTTGGCGTTGGCGTTTGGGGTCTTGAAGAGTAGTCCAGGGTCAGAGGTTAGGATTCAGAAGAATATAAGGATGTGTAGTGATTGTCATAACTGGATTAAGTCAGTGTCTAAGTTGTTGAATAGAGTGATTATTGTGAGGGATCGGATACGGTTTCATAGGTTTGAAGATGGCTTGTGTTCTTGCGGAGATTATTGGTGAGAGAAGAGAACCATCAAGAAACAATCAAAGATTTATCTTGACAGGTTTTGGCAAGAGGAAACAGTCTGAAACATTTTGAAAATCATTTGTTTTGGAGGTTGGTTTCTTAGAGGTTTTGGGTTTTAGAGGTGTGTTTGGGAATCTCAATGTTTTGGGGACTAAATTGGAATTCAATGGAGTTAAAAATTGTGATTTACTGTTTTGTCCATACGCAAGTGACAGGCAGGGATCGATTGCAGGGTAAAAGTGTAAAATTAAAAATGTTAAAAAATTGGAAAAAGAAATCCGACCTGCCGGAATCGAACCAGCGACCTAAAGATTATCTGTTGTGAACAACTACAGTCTTCCGCTCTACCAACTGAGCTAAGGTCGGCTTGCCGATTATCTCTCCGCTCGTTAATATATATATAGATATATATTCATTACTCTGTTCATAAAACCGTTCATAAAACCTAACCTGAAACTTTTACCCGAACACGAATCCGAACCAAACCTGAAACGAAGTTTAAAAATATCTGATCGGTTTTCATATCTCATAAACCGAAAAAGACCCTGAAAAAATCTGAATTTAACAGAATAAAATAGTATTGGGATTTTTCTGTTTGTTTGTTTTTTTTTTTGTTTTTTTGTTTTTTTTTTTTTTTTTTGTCAATTTTTGTGGGCCACAACGAGCCAGCCCAAAGACCTTATTCTCCCAATGAGGAAATGAACCCCACATGGAGAAGGTGGAGTCGAACTCTAGATAAGATGAATTCAGAGTTAATACACTACCACTAGCCTACTTGCTCCTACCACAAAAACGTGTTGGGATTTAATGTGACTCATATAGCAAGTCATACAATCTAGAGAAATTGCACCGAGTAGCTATAGGAAGTGACATAATTAAGAATTCAACAATGGGGTTATTAGGCTTGAGTCATGTAAATATTTTGGACTCATTCCTTCCAATTTTAACCCCACGCGTTCCATACCAGGAGAGATTTTTTGTCCAAACGCAATTAATGTGTTATGCAATTAATATGTTATATACTTATATTAGTGGACCTTTATTCCCATTTTTGAGTCTGTTCATAAGTCATAACAAACCACCCTATATGACAATCAAGAGACAATTTAGATCCCTAATTGTATCTTCTAGTTTCGTTTCAGTGGTTTGTTATAAGTTTTGTAGGTGTCTTCTCGTTTTTATTTTGTTTATGTACTTTAAATAATTGTCCACGTGAAATTCAGTTTGGCAAATTACACTGATTGAGGTAAGTGGTTGTTATTATTTTATGTTATCATATGATTGTCTATATGATAATATATGACAGTGTATTTAATCGTCAATATATGTATATATTTTGTATTATTTAGAATTTAGATGGTTCTCTATATGATTGTTCTATATATTTATATGTCAATTTATTTATTTGTCAACATATGTTTTCTTGGTGTTATATTATGATATGGTTGTCTACATATCTATGTGAATGTGTTTTTAGTGATTGAAATAGTATGTTTTGATTTTTTTTTTTATTAAATCTCCATATTTCTATGTGGTTGTCTACATTGACATATGACTATCTACGATTTTATATGACAATATATGCTATTTAGTTTTTTGGTGTGTTATAAATCAATATAACAAGTTATATGTTCTTATAATATGCTAAAATATATTATATCATATATCCACAATTATGTCTTGTATTTCGATTTGTTATTTATTATTTTGGTGCGTTATAAATAAATATATCTTGTTATTATAATTTTTGGTGTGCTAAATATATAAATAACAGCATAATAAAATATGTTTTGATAAATTACAATAAATATCATGTTATATTTACTATAATAAGTCATGTTTATAGAGCACTGGATTATCTCGGTTCATAAAAATTTCAATTTGATGTCAATGACGTAGGCATACGTAAGGCAGCCACAATCAGGTCAATTAAATTCCCTTCTCCAAACCCCCACGCGCACACTTCATTGATTTTGCTCAACGTGTTGTGTCTCTCTTTTTATTTGGGTACCCTTTAGATGAATGCTAATAGCCATTTTACGATTTGTTTCTCACCTAAATAAAGGCCCAAAATATGCTACTCACCAAATTCACTCTACAATCTAACGTGTCAACGCAATCTAACTTGTCACATTGACGTTGTGAGAATCTTCCCTTAAATGATAAGATTTGTTTCTTAAAATAAATAATTATCTTTCCTTTTTTGGTTGTTTAAGAAAATAAATATATTTCCATATTTACTAAAGCCTTTGAATTAAATACACCGCCTCTGAAATCAAAAGATTATAAAATGGAGATGCCATAGGTTCACCATTAAGCTTCCTCAATTCATAACTTTCATCAAAAATCTTAACAAAAGAAACTAACAATGTCGAAGAAGATTGTTCTGAAAAGCTCAGATGGTGAGATCTTCGAGGTTGAAGAAGCGGTGGCTCTTCAGTCGCAGACAATAACTCACATGATCGAAGACAACTGCGCCGAAAACGAAATCCCTCTCGCCAACATCACTGGAGATATCCTCTCCAAAGTGATCGAGTACTGCAAGAAACACGCCGTCGTTGTCCCCAATAGTGCTGGTGGTTCGACTGAAGAGAAGCTCAAGGAGTGGGACACTATATTTATGAATGATATTGATCAATCGACGCTCATTTATCTTATCTTAGCTGCTAATTTTTTAAACATCAAGAATCTTCTTGCTCTTACTTGTCAAACTGTCGCTGATATGATCAAAGGTAAAACTCCAGAAGAGATTCGCAGATTCTTCAACATAGAGAACGATTTCACTCCCGAAGAAGAAGCAAAGATCCGCCAAGAAAATGCATGGGCTTTTGATATGTAGATCATCATCATTTTGGATGATTTGTTTCATGATTATACATTGTTTGTCCCCGCACCTTCGTGCTTTTAAAAATAAAATTATCATAGAAATATTTGTTTTTGGCAGTGATTTATAAACCAGACCAAGCCGGTCCATCTGATTGAACTATAAACCCGTGGGTAATCCGGTTTATTTTTTTTATAAAAACTCAAAATTGTAGTTTACCCAAAAAACCAATTAAATCAAGGCAAAAAAACGGAAACCGGCTGTGTTAGGTCAATTAAAAACCCCGATTCTTATATTTTATATAATAATTTATGGATTTCTAATTAAAAATATTTTTAAAAAAATCAGATTATTTGAGTTATAAAATAAAACTATTGAAGAATATCTTTAAAAAAATTATATTTTGACTTTGATTTTTAAACACTTTTACCATGATGTTTTTATTCACATAGGCATGATGTTTTACATTTCACAAACTTTTACTGCATTTATAAGTCTTTATTTAAGTCTTTATATATCAATTAATTTTCTAATATTTTATATATCTATATTAAATATATTTATTGTTAATAACTAAAAAACCCTGTCGAACCGGTTGGACCAAATTGAACCCTGACTCAGAGACATATCCGTTGAACGTCCGGTCAGAATTGAAAACATTAGTTTTTGGTTTACCTGTTTTTTTTTTTTTTTTAAATTTAAACATCTATTTAATTTTGATAAGAGTTAACATATTAGTCCATCAATAATCCTCTATCTATTAAAAGAGAAACATTGATACCTTTTTTACTGATGTGTCTGTCACTCCCATAATTTTTATGAGCCTTTTTCTTTTAAATTTATTTAATTCTCTTATAATCATTGCCAAACATAATTATTTTCATTACTCTAATTTCTGTAAGCAAGCATAATTATATCTTTCTAAACTTACCAAAAATAATTTCAAAAATCTTATATTAAATATTACAATTAAATTCTTTTTTATTTGTACTTAAAAAATCAGTAAACATGTAAAATATTTAATTATATTTTACAGATTATATAACAAATTAAAGACAATATATTACAAATCTATATGATAATGTATATGATTTATTTGTTATTGAACTAAAAAATAAAACTGTTTATTTGAATGATTTAATATGTGAAACACATTTTTTTTAATAAACGAATTTCGGATTTCATATATTAATTCTTGCTATGTTGATTTGTTTTTAACTTAAACTATAAATTATTGTTTACAATTATACCACCGGTGAACCACATTACTGTATAAAACAATATCAGAATATACACAATTAAATTTTAGGTTCTCCATTAAATAAGTAAACTAAATTTTTTTAACTAAAACTATATTAATATAATTTTACTTCCATATCATTTCATCCAGGACATTACGCATGCATTATTCTAGTTCAATTGGAAAGGTATAACCTCAAATAAAATTATTAACTGCTAAGTACGTTTTTAATTTGGCCTCGCTGAATTTTATTAAATTTGTTCAACAAATTGGAGAAATATTTTTTCTTTTCCGTAGAAAAAATATCTAAAACAAGTTATTTAGGACTAAATTTTCAACTAAAAATAAGTATTCTGATATATTTATAACATATATGTGTTAGTGTATTTTTGAGTTGATATACAATACTTGGTTTTAAGATAATAAATGAGAATAATTATTCAGTACTTTAATGTCTAGTAATAATCATCATTTGATTTGTTCTTTACAAGCATATTAATATTGATTTCAAACAAAATCAGATTATAAAAGATGATTTCACCTCTAAATAAATCAATCTTTATAAACAAAAAAAAGAAAAGTTAACTACACCCTTATAAAATTTTTTAAAAAGAAACTAACAAATCACTGATGTTAAAAAAAAAAAACTAACAAATCACCTAGTTCATGTTCATCCGAAAAATAAAGCAAAAAACAAGGAGATCTGAAGTGGCATGTGACTTGTGAGGAGCACACTCTCTTCCACATCTTTCTTGACTCTTCCTCCTCCTCTCTTATCATCAATCTTCTCTCTCTTCTCCACTGATCCCACGACACTTTTTCTCAATGGCGGCGATGCAGCTTCCCCCGGCGACTCTTTACGCTGGAAAACCTTCGACGGTCTTACCTCCGAATTCTCCAAACCTCCTCAGATCATCTTTCTTGCCTTATTACTCGATGAGGCTAGTCAACAACAAGAAACCTCTCTCCAAATCATTATCATCATCCTCTGCTCCAAGATTCTCAATGCGTGTCTCCTCCAAGCAAGCCTATATCTGCCGTGATTGCGGGTCTCTTTCAATCTCTCTCTCCCTCTTCTTCTCTAATATATCTTCAAGTCTCATCTCTCTTTCTCTTGATTTTACAGGTATATTTACAATGACAGAACTCCATTCGAAAAGTTACCTGATAACTACTTCTGTCCAGGTATTGTGATCAATTTGTCTACTTTGTGTCCTGCTTATGTGTAAACTTAAAGAATCTTAGAAGAAATGTTAAAGACTCTCTCTTTTTGCAGTGTGTGCTGCTCCTAAACGGAGGTTTAGACCGTACATGCCTGATGTGAGCAAGAACGTTAACGAAAAAGATGTGAGAAAGGCCAGAAAAGCTGAGCTCCAAAGAGACGAAGCCGTTGGGTAAAAAACAATAAAGACTCTCTCTTTCTTTCATCAACTCTCTGCTTCTCTTCTCATATGTGGCAATTATAATGATGCGCAGGAAGGCTTTGCCAATAGCAATTGCATTTGGACTTTTAGCTCTCGCAGCTCTATACTTTTACGTCAACAATGTCTCATGAATGTAGGAGTAAGGAAGGGGTCTACATTTCTGTTTTTGTATTGACATTCATATCCTTGTTGAACACTGTAATCAAGTTAAAGTATTGAGCTTTCTATGTACCAAAATGAAATTGAATGTTGCGAGAGATGAATAACGTGTGATAGCAGAGGAAAGAGACAATAGAGAAAATGGCTCGTCTTGTGAAATGAGTGATTCTTGAATTGGTTTATCGATTGATGATTGATAATGTTAGTGGCTTAAACTACTATAGACCTTGTTGGACCCAGATTTAGCACCTAAATCTCTCCCTACTTAAGATACATTAAACGATTCTAGCTAGTCCGCTTACTTGGGTTTACCTGTTTAGAGGCCGTTTTAGTCTTCATCAAGCTGTCGAGATGTCGAGCTACCGTATGCAAGAGTTATCATTCGAGACTTAATCAAGGTCGTTCGGCATCCCAGGAAATCCGGAGTTAGTTGCTCGGTGGAGACCCCCGCTAAATCCGGAACACGTGCGGCAGGAGATCCCGAAGATCACACAAGCAGGCGAGATACGAGCACTCGCAGGAGAACTATAAAAGGAGCAGAAGTCCAAGCAGAAAGGGGATCATCTCTTCATCATCTGATATCGAATCTCTTACTCATTGAATACATTCTAACCTAACTCTATCTTGTACGCTCTCTTCGAGCTCTCGTATTCCCAGAAATACCTTGTAACCTTGAATCTTGTTTGATCAATATAAAGTCCATATTTGCTTATTCTTTTGCCTAAGTTCTTGAGTGTTTGTGAGAATCTTACCTACTTCTTACTCATCCCTAAACTACTATCAAATTTCTAAGTGTGAGTTTCACGTTCCACATTTTGGCGCCGACTGTGGGGAAGAAAAAATATATCTCTAACAATATAGCCTGATCTAAGGCTCCTTAGAACACAAATGGATTCAACCAGCCAAAACGCTACTCCTGTATATGGTCAAGGGTCTAACCCTTCCGGCCAAACAGAAACGAATCGATATGCTCCAAGCGGATCAGCTCCTGTGAGACTGCAATGCTCCATATCTACATCAGATATGGGAAATCTCGGAACTGCTGCATCTGCAGCTCGTTCGGGTGTGAATAACCCGAGTCTGAACACCGGAACTCTGGTCGGAGGAAACCCATACATCTGGGTACGACCCGATATACGACCTCCAAGACCGATCCACTAGAATTGGGCTCAACGAACCCAATCGGCTCCTGCTCAAGGATTTATTCCAGATCGTATAGCGGAGCTGCAGAAAACGTTGGAGCTCCTGGTCGAGAGAACTTGAATTAGGAAACGACTTTCCAAGCCTTGATGGAGAGAACTCGAAATCAGGAAACGACTTTCCAAACCCTGATGGAGAGAACTGGAAACCAGGAAACGACCTGCCAAGCCCAGTCGCAAGGATTCGAGAGCAACTTGAACGAGGTCCGTCTCTGGATGTTCCCCGTAGCTCGACTCGCGAACGAGAAAATGGACGCAAAACGAGCCCGTTGCACCGCACGCATCTCAACTTCAAGCCCTCAGCTGGAACCCCGGGAACAGGGAACCAGAACCAGATGTTCCTACACGCAGGAGTTCTCCCCGGTAGATCACACCATCAAACCCCGATCCTTAACAGATCAAACTCGCAGGGAGCATCAGTTCGCGAGAACGAGCAGCTCCCACCGCCACCTCCGACTGTGCTCGGATCGAATCTGACACCAGCAACAGTCGCTTCAGCATCGAAAGGCGCGACAGCCTCTCTGTCATCAAGCATCGAGCAGAGGCTTGATAATATTAATCAACAAAATATCGAAAGGAATGCTTTAACTTTCGAACAGCTAAAGTCATATGTGCATGCAGCTACGAGCTCTGCACCGACATCGATTTAATAATCAGGAAAACCCGTCGCACTCCCTTCACCAAGAAAATAACACATGCTAAATTGAGGGATGCTGGAAAGATTAAGTTCCCTGAATATGCTGGGAACAGCGACCCGAAAGCACATGTTTGATCCTTTATGTTAGCAATAACTAAAGCGCATCTTACCTCCGAGGAAGAAGAAGCAGGTCACTGCAAATTCTTCGCAGAAAACCTCACTGGCTCAGCACTTGAATGGTTCTCGAGCCTCGAACCTAGTTCCATAGATAACTTCACCCAGCTCGTCTCTGTTTTTCTGAAACAATATTCAGTATTCATCGAGACTCGAGCTACGGAAGCCGACTTATGGACTTTCGTGCAAGGCCATGGCGAACCACTTCGCACCTACATTGGCCGCTTTAAGCAAATTAAAGCACAGATTCGAAATCTAAACGAAACGGTAGCTCTCCGAGCCCTAACTCACAGACTATGATTCTCTTCCAAATTTAAGGAAGAACTGCACCTCAGACACAATTCGGATCTGGACGATGCTCTACATAAAGCCAACGCATTTGCGAGAGCAGAAGAAGAATATGAAATATTCCCAGAAAAATTTAACACTGGCCTATTGGGCCCGAGATCAAACTTCCAGGATCAATCTTTAAATAGAGAACCTGAAGGTGAAAACATATACGATGTTGCTAATAACAACGAGCAGTCGAGCAGACGCTCCACGCATGATAAACATAAAAGAAATAGAGATGCGGATGAGGATGACTCTCCCCCTCCCGCACTCAAGCAACAGATCGATATGATTTTCAGAGAGTTCAAACACTACAGTGGCTCGATGAAATCTTTAGACACCCTCCCATATGCTCCCAAAAAGACAATATGCCAACGCCTCAGCGAACTAAGCCTTTGCGGGGGGGGTGTAGAGGCATATGCCCCTAAAAGAATTAACTTCATATCGGGCAGCTCAGAATTTTGCCGAAACCCGGTAAACTCAATCAAAGGTTTTCAACGAAAAGCTAGCTCCAGTTCGAATTGTCCCCAAACTCTGACCGGACCGGACACCGAAATCGCATTCCTCGAAAGCGAAACGCTTAACTTGGAAAAACCACACGATGACGCTCTCGTAGTCCAGCTCGATATAGCAGGATTCGAGCTGTCAAGAATAATGATTGATACTTGAAGCTCAGTCGATCTGCTGTTCTACGATGCATTTAGAAGGATGGGGTTTACATATTCTGCTCTAACTGATAGAAAGATTCCACTCACCAGCTTCACCGGGGAAATTACTTACTCTCTCGGTACCATTCAACTCGTAATTACTGCGGGAGGAATCCGAAAACCAGTTAATTTCGTCGTTGTAGACCGCACAGCCCCGTATAATGCTATACTAGGCAGACCTTGGATCTCCACGATGAAAGCAGTACCTTCAACTTATCACCAATGTGCTAAAATCCTGATTTCCTACGGAATCAAAACGATCCGTGGAAACCAGGAAAAAGCGAGAACGTGCTACATGAGCTCGTTCAAACAAATTGTGAGCTCTCCCGCATAACAATTACATAAAAACGAAAAGGAACCCAAAATATGTGTCAACATTAGCTCAAAGCTTGACAGCTCGCTCGATCTACTCCTGTTTCTGGAATTTTTAGTTGTGCAACCAACTCCATCTATTCAAGAAAAATACACTTTTTTAAAACCTTTCGATTCATTATGACGAGTTGACAAAACAAAAACCAAACAACGCAATCGGACAAGTCGAAAAACATTTCGACTCGAATCACTCAACCAAAATTTAACTTACACTCAGTCGAATTTGCAACGGTAAGGAAGGATATTGAAATCATCCCAACACCGCAAACCCGATCATTATATACCATCTCGTAGTTGGTAACTTAAATCAAACTCTAGCTCAATTCCAAGGCAAAGAAGCAAACAAATTTGACACAAAACCCTTTGTCGAACTTCGACGATACCACGCATTTACTCTTTAAAGGTGATCGACCTCCGGCTCGATAACGAAAAACTGTGACTCATAACAGTAATCAAAATTTTGACAAGCATTTGGTCAAAATTTGAAATCTCAGGCGATTTCCACAATCAAACTAAAGCTCGCTGACGAACTCAAGTTTAAACGATATCATTGAGCTACAACTCAGCTACATAAGAATTCGACACGAAAACCTTTGTCGAAATTCTCTATAAAACGAAGTAGAATGTATGTTCCGTAATCGAACTGCAGCCTGAAAACTCGATATGGGGTCAAATATGTTATCTGTGAAACCAACTACGGAATCCAAAACGCTAAGTTACAAAAGCATGAAAGAGGAAATCTTGACTTATTCTTTGCTTTCTGCCTATCGAGCTCATCACTTCGCTCAATAGGCTAGGGGACTATTGTTGGACCCAGATTTAGCACCTAAATCTCTCCCTTCTGAAGGACCATTAAACGATTCTAGCTGCCGAGATATCCAGATGTCGAGCTACTGTATGCAAGAGTTATCATTCGAGACTTAGTCAAGGTCGTTCGGCACGATCCCAGGACATTCAAAGTTAGTTGCTCGGTGGAGACCCCGCTAAATTCGGAGCACATGCAGCAGGAGATCCCGAAGATCACGGAAGCATGCGAGAAAAGAGCACTCACAGGAGAACTATAAAAGGAGCAGAAGTCCAAGCAGAAAGGGGATCATCTCTTCATCATCTTTCACCATCTGATATCGAATCTCTTACTCATTGAATACATTCTAACATAACTCTATTTTGTACGCTCTTCGAACTCTCGTATTCCCAGAAATACCTTGTAACCTTGAATCTTGTTTGATCAATATAAAGTCCATATTTGCTTATTCTTTTGCCTAAGTTCTTGAGTGCTTGTGAGAATCTTACCTAGTTCTTCCTCATCCCTAAACTACTTTCAAATTTCTAAGTATGAGTTTTACGTCCCACAGACTTTGCTTTGGGAATGTACATAGAGTACTCGACAAAACGGTTTCTGAGGAAGATGAATAAAGACACAATCATATAGGAGTGTACATACATCAATCTATGTAGTTGCAATAGACACAAAGTAAGAGATTTGACTTGATCGAGATACAAAACCTCTGAACCAGCCACCCAGCAGATGGACAACAAAACTATTTACATATGAGATATAGAGAAATCAAAAGTTTCAAATTACGCGCGGGTTTATTTTAATAATTTTAATTAATCCATTAATAACTATAAAATTATCAAATTTTAATGGATGGTTTATTTTATTATTTTCTCCTTCCTATATATGTTTATAAGATTATAGATTTTATTAAATTATAATAAATCAATTGAAACCGGAAAAATGTGGGTTACATTTGATTTTGACTTCGATTCAAAGATTTTGTTTTGCAAATATCCAATAACTTTACCTTATTAAAATATTAATTTATTTAACTTCAGTAAAGAATATATCTATTTATGTATTTATGGAAATTTGTTGGAACCTCTCAAACGTTTTAGAAATTTTGATAGTTACTTTCATAATTGTCAACTACCTACATAAACATTAGTACATATTTAGCATAGCATGCTGATTTAATATCTTGATATATTGTTATTGTAAAATCCATAACCCAGAGTTTGAGAATTTTTGTTTGGTGTTGAGCGACACCAAGGAGGGTGTCGGTCGACACGTATTTGCAAAATTGATTTCCGTTTTGATTTGAGTGTCGGTTTAGTCCGGTTTGGGTTTGGAAGCCCTTGTTTCGCGAATAAAAAGAGTCAGCCGCCGTTCTTCATTGAGTTTTTGTTGTTTTGCGAATCAGAGAAGAGAGCAGAGGAGATTTAGGCGATTTGTGGAGTTTCTGGGTCAGATCGGAGTCGTTTGTAGCTTTGTCTATCTCTCCCTTTCCCCTTTCAATCCGATTTGAGGTGAGTGCATGACAATAGGCTCGTGAAGGTCAGCACCTTTCAATGCAAGCAAGAATCCAACAAAGTGACAACCGATTAGCATTGCTTTAGATATCAAGTTTCCTCTGCATCAAACAAGTGTGAAAAAAAAAATTGTGTTATTTCCCCAATGCAAATCTTACGTTGCCTAGATTATTATTGAAGCAATTTCCTTGCAAACAAAGATCCTTAGTAATAAAATAATATTGAGCGGGGTTTGTGAAATATTTTGATTGAGTAATATTGTACTCTATATAACACATAATTTACCTCAATAGATTTAGTTACCGAGTTCTTGTTGCTATCTAAGAGAAGTTCATATTATCAATAACTCAACCTCCGATTTCTCGTAAACGAATTAAAGCCTACATTCACTTCGAATCTAAGGTAAAGGTACCTATAAAACTTTTTATTTTTAAAGTTTATGCATTATCTACAAGAAATATTAGTCGAGCATTTATATATGCAACTTCCGTGATTGTTTGCTAACATGTTGTGAGGGGACTGTTAAGTGTTGTGCATGATGGAACTTTCAGTGAGGCTTGTTCGACGGATGTGGGTGAAGAATGAAATGGAATGGTGGGTACATGAACCTCACTTGGTTGGCATCAAGGACTGATTTGCGAAGAACTTGTGACTTATTTGCGACGATGCACATATTCATCGCAAAAAATATAATATAGTATTGAGTAAAACACAAAAAATGAGTTACGGAATACGAAGTTACGAAGCAATGTATGGCCGCCAACAGCATTGCTTTAGATATCAAGTTGCCTGTGCATCAAACAAGTGTGAACAAAACTCGTGTTATTTGCCCAATGCAAATCTTACGTCGTCTAGAATATTATTGAAGCAATATCCCTGCAAACAAAGATCCTTAATAATAAAATAATATTGAGTGAGGTTTATAAAATATTTTGGTTGAGTAATATTGTACTCTATATAACACATAATTTATCTCAACAAAGTCAGTTATCGAGTTATTGTCGCTATCTAAGAGAAGTTCATATTATCAATAACTCATCCTCCGATTTCTCATAGACGAATTAAAGTCTGCATTCACTTCGAATATAAGGTAAAAGAAGATATAAAGCTTCGTGTTTTAAAAGTTTATGAATTATCTATAAGAAATATTAGTCGAGCATTATATATGCAAATTCTGTGATCGTTTGCTAACATGTTGCGAGGGGACTGTTAAGTGTTGTGCAGGATAGCACTTTCAATGAAGCTTGTTCGAGGGAGGTGGTTGAAGAATGAAATGAAATGGTGGGTGAAGAATGAAATGGATTGGTGGGTACATGAACCTCACTTGGCTGGCATCAAGGACTGATTTGCGACGAACTTGTGACTTATTTGCGACAATACTCATATTCATCACAAAAAAAAAAATATATATATATATAATAGTAATGAGTAAAACTGAGTTACGAAGGAATCTATGTCCGTCAATAGTATTGCTTTAGATACCAAGTTGCTTGTGCATCAAATAAATGTGAACAAAAATCGTGTTATTTCCCCAATGCAAATCTTACGTCGCCTGAAATATTATTGAAGCAATATTTCTGCAAACAAAGATCCTTAGTAATAAAATAATATTAGGCGGGGTTTTTGAAATGTTTTGTTTGAGTAATATTGTACTCTATATAACACATAATTTACCTCAACAAAGTAAGTTACCGAGTTCTTGTTGTTATCTAAGAGAAGTTCATATTATAAATAACTCAACCTCCGTGATTGTTTGCTCACATGTTTTGAGGGGACTGTTAAGTGTTGTGCAGGATGGTACTTTCAGCGAATCTTGTTCGAGGGAAGTGGGTGAAGAATGAAATTGAATGGGGGTACATGAACCTCACTTGGCTGGCATCAAGGACTGATTAGCGACGAACTTGTGACTTATTTGTCACAATGCACATATTCATCGCAAAAAAAAAAAAAAAAATTGAGTAAAACACAAAAACTGAGTTATGGAATATGAAGTTACAAAGCAATCTATAGCTGCCAACAGCACTGCTTTAGATATCAAGTTGCATGTGCATCAAACAAGTGTGAACAATAATCTTGTTATTTCCCCAATGCAAATCTTACATCCCCTGGAATATTATTGAAAAAACATCCCTGCAAACAAAGATCCTAAGTAATAAAATAATATTGAGCGGGGTTTTTGAAATGTTTTGGTTGAGTAATGTTGTACTCTTTATAACACATACTTTACCTCAACAGAGTAAGTTACCGAGCTATTGTTGCTATCTTAGAGAAGTTCATATTATCAATAACTCAACATCCGATTTATTGTAGACGAATTAAAGCCTGCATTCACTTCGAATCTAATGTAAGAGAAGCTATAAATCTTCGGGTTTTTAAAGTTTATGGATTATCTACAAGAAATATTAGTCGAGCATTATATATGCAAATTCCGTGATTGTTTACTAACATGTTACGACGGGACTGTTAAGTGTTGTGAAGGATGGCACTTTCAGTGAAGCTTGTTCGAGGGAGGTGGGTGAAGAATGAAATGGAATGGTGGGTACTTGAACCTCACTTGGCTGGCATCAAGGACTGATTTGCGACGAACTTGTAACTTATTTGCGACGATGCACATATTCATCGCAAAAAAAAAAATATATATATATATAT